TGGCAATGTTATTGCAGATGTTGATGAGGGCAACATCAAACAGAAACGTGGTGACGATGATACATTGTGGCAAATGATATGGATATATATTTTGTTTTAGCATAATGAAAGGCAGCGTTGACCTGAACATTACAGGTTATTATAATTTTGTACATTTTAGGCGTATTCTTAGACACGGTCTAATCGTTTTGCGTTCATTACTTTTTTCCAGGTCCGTTTAAAAGACTGATGAGCGATACATTGGTTAAAAGTGAAAAACTTAAGGAACTAAAACAAAAACTACCAACAGTTTTATTGAAATCCAAAGAGCCCAAAACAATTGAGGCTTATAATTACGCTTACAAAAAGTGGGAGAACTGGGCACAACAATTTGAAGAAGTGACCTGCTTGCCAGCAAATCCAGTTTACTTAGCATTATATTTGGTGAGCATGATACAACAAAGCAACACGGCTAGTCCTTTGGTTAACGCCGTTTACGCCATTGCTGCGGCACATAACTTTGCAAATCAGAGCAATCCATGTAATAGTAACCTTGTTAAAATGACTTTAGAATCGGCAAAGAGAATTTTAGCCAAACCAAAAACCAAGAAATTACCAATTACGCCAGAAATGTTGGCCCTTATTGTAGACAGATTCGCAACTAATACTAAAACATGTTTGAAAGGTTTGAGGTTGGCTACATTTGTCTTGCTGGGTTATTCAGGTTTCTTTAGATTTGATGAGCTGTCTAGTATACAATTAGGAGATATTATGTTCTACGATACTCACATGAGCATCTTCCTTGAGCGTTCTAAGACAGACGTGTACAGAGATGGTAGAAATTGTATTATTGCGAGAACAGGTACAAAGCTCTGTCCAGTCAGTTTGCTCAGTAGATATTTGAGACAGGCTAACGTTGTCCAACACGATCATTACATATTCAGGGGACTGACCTTTTTAAAATCAAAAAACGAGTACGTGTTAAGGACAGATAACAAGAAGTTGAGTTATACAAGGTGTCGTGAAATTCTCTTGGAATGTCTCAAAGAGTTGGGTTATAATGAAAAATTGTACTCTTTACACTCAATGAGAGCTGGAGGCAGTACTGCCGCAGCAAATCAAGGAGTGAGTGACAGGTTGTTTAAACGGCATGGAAGGTGGAAATCAGAAACCGCAAAAGATGGTTATATCGAAGATAGTATCAAAGATTTGCTTTCTGTAACTCAAAACATTGGATTGTAGATTCATATTTAGATATTTCGATTCGAAAGGCCCTAACTTTGTTATCTCGGCGCTTGGCGCAGAACCATACCTAAGAGGATGTGTGTTAGGTTTTTTATTGAGAATGAAGAAGCTTTGTTAGGACAGAAATGTATTTATTCACGGTTGAATCACGAAGTATGAATTAGTGTATAAATAATTTCTGTACGGTCAAGGTGTTTTGAAATGATTTAATAATAGAACGAGGTCATGTATGAGTGGATTGTTTTCTTGGGTATTGAAAGGTTTTGTAGGCGTCATCTCGGTTCTAAACGCCAAAGCGGGTGGACTAAACTTTACATTATTTTAGAATAACATGTATTTAGTTTATTGTATGTTGAAAAAATAATTACCATGGTTATTAGGTAAATACTTGTAGAAGTTCAAATCCTCACACTGCTCCTTTTCATGGAGAGGTGGACCTCCCTATAGAATTTTCTGTAAAGTACGCGCTGGTGTATTGCAGTTTTTATATAAAGGGTTGGGTTCCCGGATCAGGAGCCGGTGCAACAGTTGCATCGTTAACAACTTTGGTCACAGACAAACCATTTTATTAAAGTGCAAAATAGCAACTCTTGTATCAGCAAAATAGTTTGTAGACGCTAATTAAATACATAATAATCGATAAAGATCGCATTGTAATCATGTTAATTAATGTTGAAAGATGATGATGATTTTGTATTTGTCAGTTGGAATAAACGGTTACTGCAGCTCCACTCTCGGCGCTTGGCGCAGAACCATACCTAAGAGGATGTGTGTTAGGTTTTTTATTGAGAATGAAGAAGCTTTGTTAGGACAGAAGAGAATATGATTGTGCACAAAGGAAAGGATAATTATGAATTCTGTGTCAATTGGAAAGTCACTGTGACAATATGATATTAATTAAAGTTTGAATTGAATGTATGCGGGTGCACATCATTACCAACATCATCATGTTTTAATTCCACTAAATTCTGGACACCCCATAGGTCACAGGTTAAAGGTCACAGGTCGAATGGTTTTTATAACATTCAAATTCTAATTTTGTGATGAGACAGTTACAGAAATGTTAGCATATGTCTTTAGGATTACCTTACCAAAACAAAAAGTATGAATACAATAGATCTACAAGATGGAAAAAGAGGAAAGTAAGCTAAGAAGGAGTGAGTGGGGCCATACCTTAGTAAGGTGTGAATAGGTAAATAGCTAGGATGGAATCCAGCTTTAGAGGCTTTTTTGGGAGACAGTGGGATATATTTGATGTGGCTATTTTAGTGTGGTCTCACACTGCCTCACCTAAACCAACCAACCACCAACCAAGAGACAAACAAACAAACAAACAAACACATCCAACCAACAAAACAACCAGCCAAACACATCCAAACAACCAACAAAACAACCAACTGACCAAAAAACCAACCAATCAAAAAACCAACCACCAACCACAACCAACCAACCATCCAACTGCTAGCCTATATAGCTGTTACCAATATATTCAGAAAAATGGATTCCATAGTGCACTTAACTAATGAAATTGTAATAGAAATGTCAAACTAACCCAGAACGTATCTCAATCATTTGAAAGTATAGCTCCATTGTTCAATAAAATCATCAATATATGTGTAGCAAAGGATTTCAAGAAATTAAATGTTAAAACCCTGAGGGATGTTTAATTATAATAGTTCTGATAAGTATTGGCAATCAACTGCAATCTGAGATTTTTGTTAATTATCCAGCGTGAGAATTAATTGATTGGAAAAGTAGAACCACAAACCAATACAAACTCTATTAATGAGTATTGATGTAAAGCTACTGATGGCATGAGGAAAAATAGAAACAAGGCATTAACATGCAAAATGTCACCACATGCTATTTGTTACAGACACCAACAGCCATCCACTTCTGGTGGTGACATAAAAATAGGAAACACATGGAAAACGGAAATAGAGATACAAACACATAAATATAGAAATTATTTCTTCATCAGACATAGAGCAATAAATTATTTGCCTTCTAGAGGATACATCAGGTAGAATCCATGAATAATCAATACAGCTCTCATATTGCAATAGAAATTGCTATTAAAAATTCACGATCATGATCCTATCTATTGTTAAAGGTTGATGCATATGCTAATCAATTAATTATTCATAAGGTCCTGGTTGAGTTAATTATCATGTAAATTATGTTAATACTGATAACAATACTGCCTTATTTAGATGTTTACGTTTGAGAAATTGTATTTTAAAAAAGTGCATGGAAGATAGTATTTCCCCTGAGCTGAATGACAAAACTTTATACAATCCCACAAAAATCTAATATCAACAATTTTTGACCTTTATTCAAATCAATTTTATTTGTACAAACAGCATGAAATAGAAAGTGGAATTCATTACTGGAGGCATTTCACAATTCTCATCAAAGTAAATTAAAATTTGCCAATTTAATTTTTATGCTTCATCATTTTCGAGTAAGTAGAAACTGCTGAGTGGAACACCCTTTATCAGTTGAACACCTCACAAGTGGAACAGGTTTTGCAGCCCATTGACTCCATGTTAATGAACCTTTGTAAGTGGAACATCTCGCAGTGTAACACTTTTAGATTCCAAAGGCGTTCTACTTACACTGGTTCTACTTCTTGACAAAAAAATGTTCAACATACACAGGATTTACTGTAAATGTAATTCTTTTTGCAGCAAAATAAATCAACTGACATGAGATCATTGACATAAATTATCATATTTTGCCATAAAATTATAGCAATGACATCACACCCAATAGATAGCATGATTTACCTCATACTTCAACGAATGAGAATTCATTTTGAACAGCAATGCCCCCTTTATATTCAATTATTCAAAACATTATTACAGTAAAATAATTATATCGTAAACTACTGCAGTTGATGTCTTAATGGATAGATGGCATGTGTGTTGTATTTAGTTTGTATATCGTATTAACTATTTCAAAACAAATTCACAAAAAACACATTCACCTTCAAACTGTGAACACAATTCATTTCCTTCACCTTAAGTACACCTCATATTCCCTTTCCTTACAAAAGGAAAAACCTCACATTCCCATTCAACCATTTAGAAAACCTTCCTTTTCTTGACAAAAAGACCTTATACCCCATTTCAACCTCATATTCATTTCCTTTATAAAAAGAAACACCTCACATTCCCATTCAACCATTTAGAAAACCTCACATTCTTTTTCTTAAAAAAAAGACCTTATACCCCATTTCAACCTCATATTCTCTTTCCTTACAAAAGGAAACACCTCACATTCCCATTTAGAAAACCTCACATTCCTTTTCTTAACAAAAAGACCTTATACCCCATTTCAACCTCATATTCCATTTCCCTACAAAGGGAAACACCTCACATTCCCATTCAACCATTTAGAAAACCTCATATTCCAATTATGTGTTGTGAATGACATCACATACATATCCTTCATTATATTTTTGCAGGCAAACTTGTATAAAAAATGACCTAACATACTTTTTACTTAAAGTGGCAACAAAGGTTATATACAAAAGTAAATGAAAACTTAAGATGCAGAAAAACCAAATTTAAAAATCAAAAAAGCAGTTGTCCTCTTATTTCTTAGAATTAAATAACCTTATAAAAAGCCATTTTTATGACATTAATCAGAACTATATCCTCAAGTCTCTCTAGTCTTTGTTACCTCTTTAATTCCTTGATAATTCCACTCCTTTACACCCTGGTATCCCTCAAAAACATCACCACCCTAATATTTCCACACCCCATGCATACCTGTGTATCCAACGTCTCACATGCGCCTGAATAACCCTCGTTGACCTCCTCTTGACCTGGTACCTTTTCCTCACAATAAAGCCCCGCGTCATCTTCTGTATCAAAATGATCGCCTCATTCACCAATGTGTTCTGCTGCATCTCAAAGTATCTTCCTAGCTCCTCTCTCAGAAACACCTGTAATTAATATGTGATCTTTCATAAACAATTATATATATACAATATTTGATAACTTTTAGAAACACCTATATATTCAATATATGATAACTTTCAGAAACACCTATATATTCAAGATATGATAGTTTTCAGAAACACCTTTATATATTCAAAATATGATAACTTTCAGAAACACCTATATATTCAAGATATGATAGTTTTCAGAAACACCTATATATATTCAATACATGATAACTTTCAGAAACACCTATATATTAAGAAACACAGCACATTTTAATAAAGGTTTGGTGAAGGTTAAAAATAAAATTAAAACAAAAACAGAAAAGAGAGCATTTAAAATACATTGTGACAGATAATAAAAATAATTATTTTATATTAATAGCTTGGGAGGCCATAAGTATACACCTATGTATTAATGCTCAGAGGTGATTCACTAAGACATATTGTATATCTTATCAATAAATGAAGCGACATTTGTGTAGTTCTTTGAATCCAAACTTCAATCAAAGAGGGCTATTGCAACAGGATCTCTCATACATGATTTGCACGTATAGGTAATAAAAACTCATGGAAATGTGATGAAAGCATGTGTGTCTATACTCAGATGTTAAATTCGATGAACAATTTGGATTACATGTAAAGCACTGCATAGTTGACATTTAATAATGTTCATCTTCGATCACCATTTTACTAAAAATTAATCATTTAACTCACGATAAGGGATACAATTCAATTTTTAATTTTGATTCAACATCTGATCCTTTCTTTTGAGGTGTTCACGGTGGACACCATAAATTGTACTTTTACTGATTCCTCATACTGAAAGTTAAAGGAAATGTAGGGGCAGAGATGACTTGAGACCTTTAAAACATTCATAATTTTACAATATATTTTGTTCTCATCATTCCAAGTCATGCTTATTTACTAAATAAAAAATGAAATGGTTCTTCCTTCCCCATATCAATTCTTATGAATTTGGACTTTTCTGCATATTTTAACTTCAATAACTTCTTTATTTGATCAAATATCTCAATTCTTAAAAGTGGTAAAACAAGGGTAGAAAGGGAGACATTGACATGGTTTTTGAAAAGATTGCCCTAAAATTTATAGTCTCTTAAGAGTCTTTATAACATACCTATGATGATGTATAGTGCAAAGTGTACACAAGACAGCGGGCCAATATAAGTTTTGAAAAGCCCGCGCCCGCTAACTTTCTGATTGGTCAAGGCGCTGACGTCATAACCAATCAATCAAAGATAAAACTGCGCGAGCAATTTTTCTAAACTCATTTCAATCATTTTCAAACCATTTGTTTGTCAATTCTATAAGAAAACGGTACTCTCTGACCAGTCTACATCATCATATGTATGTTATAAATCGTTTATGTCACTATCGTGGCACATATGCCCTCGGTTCTCAGAGATCAATGTCCCTCCCAAGGTCGGGCCATATATCACTGACACCTCGGCCATATATGCCACGATAGTGACATAACCTCTAATTATTGCCCCTTTAAGCTTAACATTTTGCTTTTTTGACTTCAGCCTTCTTGTCTTTAAACCATCCACAAATGTTTGGGAAATTAAATTGGAGAGTGATAGATTAACCTGGAACATTAATCAGCAAAAAGCAATCCTTGGCAAATGCCAGGTCCTTTAATGTGATTGACTATAGCGTTTCAACAAGTACAAGAATCATTCTCTTAATGTGTTGAGCTTTTAGTGTATCATTAACGCCTTGAATATCAAAAGTGACGGAATGACTCTAACTTTGACAAATGTGTGTATTTTTCATTGTTAAGTAATAATACCTAAAATGAACATCAAACATGGTATATTAAGATGTATTACATACCTAGCGAAGCATTTGTATGGAAGTCAATGGGAAAGTTAGCGAGCTATATCCACCGATATTGCCCGATTACCCCGATATAGCCCGCTTACCTCGTTTTGATATTAGATTTCTTTAATAACCATGATAATATCATGACGTCACGTCATTGATACAAAGTAACCATGGGAACAAAGGCATGTAATACATCAGTTATGTCACTATGACGTGAAATATGCCTTCGTTCTTGCCCAAATATAGAGCCTCCCAAGGTCGGCCTATATTGGGAGAACTCAGGCATATTTCACGTCATAGTGACATAACCTCTAAATATAAAAGAATGAACTAGGTCAAATTGGCCCTTATCTTCTGCAATGATTATTATTGATCAATAAAAAGTCCCATTTGCAAATTGCAATCCAGGTAGATATTACAAATATATATATAATATATACATATACATATATATAATACCAGCCAAGGCCAGGTCAGCCCAACCCGAACCGTCCCAAAAAACTGAAACTGTTTCACCTGTGGTAGATCAGATGCATCATGATTAACCATGACATCTCATTTCTTCTCTGCCCTGAGATGTTTCAGGTGAAACAAAAAGATGCTATGAGTATCAGAATGGATCAGATGGTATACTTCAACACTGCAGCCATGGCAGAAGAATTTAGAGAAATTTTGATTTTATCCTTACCTTGGTTGCTCCTATTTGATACTGGTTGGCATGAGTTGAAGGAGTGGCAGTCTGAAGGATGAACTCACATTTGTCTTGGATGGCCTTAGTCTTTGGTAACTGCCTACCCTTTAGTAATACTTGGTATCTACAACCAAGGTTAACAAAAATGAGAAAATGACAATGTGATGATTACTATGTTATGTTTTTTCTGGATATGGCTCATATCTACAGGGTGGGCCAAAAATGTTCAAATCTTTCATTTGGTGAAAACTTTTTCAACAATGCATATATTTCTTAAATATTTTTGATTGAAATGCAGCGATAAATATAAATCTTCAGTGGTTTCTGACTATCGCAATCTATATTTCTGATAAAAATTGAAGCATTGATAGTGTACAGAGACCAATAAAGAAGTTGGACTGCTTCAACATCGAGAAAGAAAGAAGAACTGATTCAGAGGCCGAATTCACATTTTTTCTTGATGTTGAATCAGTTTTTCTTCATCTTAGTTTTGATACTTAAAATTTCATTTTTGTCTGAAATTATTTCAGAATATACTGAACACCCTACAAAATGTGTTTCTCTGACAGACTGAACGCTATGTCAGTCTGGTTCTATAATTTGAGGCATGGTTAGTATCAGTTAAATTGTTGCTTTGAATATCATCCTGAAATCCGTATCTTTTCAAATAGACCCTAAAGTCTATGTCAATGCATTAGAAATGATAAAAATAGAAAAAATTATTGAATCACAAATTCATTTGGGACAGAGGCATTCCATCTGTATCTGTTTACATCCTTATTCAAAAAATTTGAAGATTTAATCATCCCATTTCGGGAACAATTGCAAAAATAATTCCTGCATGCATCCTCTGCGAAAATTTTATTGAAAACCATGAATTTTCAAAACAGTTATATCGAAATAAAAAAAAAGAACGTTTTTTGCCCCACCCTGTACATATAGTTTCTTAGATAACACACATTTCTGTTTTTGCAAATAAGGGGTTTCAACACAATAGGCATATTTCAGCACAAGGTTAATAATAAAACTTGATACTCCATTTACTGTAGTCTCCTTTTATGTGCCTAATTAGTTTTGTCCAATAAAATGGTGATAAATAATGTTTGTCTTAGCCTTATGAAGATGATTTTCAGTCATTAGATATCACGGGCACTTAATGAGCAAGAAAGGTTTAGTCAATATCAAATGAACATAAAAAATTTGAATTATAGTTTTGACATCTCTTGCATTTAGGAATTTTCTTAACGAGATTTTTTTTCATTTTTAAATGATAAGTTTTAGACTATCGAAATATTTTATTGTGTTTTGCTAAATATTGATACTTTAAAAATGGTTATAGCTACTATATCAAGAAAGATATTCTCTTGCAAGGAATATCCCTTTAAGCTATAAACAAGGAATATCCTTTTAAGCTATAAACAAGGAATATCCCTTTAACCTATAAACAAGGAATATCCCTTTAAGCTATAGACAAGGAATATCCCTTTAAGCTATAAACAAGGAATATCCCTTTAAGCTATAAACAAGGAATATCCCTTTAAGCTATAAACAAGGAACATCCCTTTAAGCTATAAACAAGGAATATCCCTTTAAGCTATAAACAAGGAATATCCCTTTAAGCTATAAACAAGGAACATCCCTTTAGGCTATAAACAAGGAATATCCCTTTAAGCTATAAACAAGGAATATCCCTTTAAGCTATAAACAAGGAATATCCCTTTAAGCTATAAACAAGGAATATCCTTTTAAGCTATAAACAAGGAATATCCCTTTAAGCTATAAACAAGGAATATCCCTTTAAGCTATAAACAAGGAATATCCCTTTAAGCTATAAACAAGGAATATCCCTTTTAAGCTATAGTTACTCACCTATCTATAAAGGCTTGGAATCTCATTCTGACAGGATAGCCGAGTCGTCGTATTTTGATTGTGTCGATCATTCCCAAGTACCGCAGCTGCATAACTACCACTTTGTCGTCAAATACCATTGGAGCCTTGGTGTTGTTTGGTTTAATACATCTCACAAAGAATGGGTTGCATCTGAAATATAATTCAATAGGAATGGGTTGCATCTGAAATACAATTCAATATGAATGGGTTGCATCTGAAATACAATTCAATAGGAATGGGTTACATCTGAAATACAATTCAATAGGAATGGGTTGCATCTGAAATACAATTCAATAAGAATGGGTTGTATCTAAAATACAATTCAATAGGAATGGGTTGCATCTGAAATAAAATTCAATGGGAATTGATCGCATCTAAAAGACAATTCAATAAGAATGGGTTGTATCTGAAATACAATTCAATAGGAATGGGTTGCATCTAAAATACAATTCAATAGGAATGGGTTGCATCTGAAATAAAATTCAATGGGAATTGATCGCATCTAAAAGACAATTCAATAAGAATGGGTTGTATCTGAAATACAATTCAATAGGAATGGGTTGCATCTAAAATAAAATTCAATAGGAATGGGTTGCATCTGAATACAATTTAATAGGAATGGGTTGCATCTGAAATATAATTCAATAAGAATGGGCTGCATCTGAAATACAATTCAATAGGAATTGGTTGCATCTGAAATACAATTCAATAGGATTGGGTTGCATCTGAAATACAATTCAATAAGAATGGGTTGCATCTAAAATACAATTCAATATAAATGAGTTGCATCTAAAATATGCTTCAATAAGAAAGGGTTGCATCTAAAATACAATTCAATAAGAATGGGTTGCATCTGAAATACAATTCAATAAGAATGGGTTGCATCTAAAATAAAATTCAATAGGAATGGGTTGCATCTGAAATGCAATTTAATAGGAATGGGTTGCATCTAAAATACAATTCAATATAAATGAGTTGCATCTAAAATAAAATTCTATAAGAATGGGTTGCATCTGAAATACAATTCAATAAGAATAGGCTGCATCTGAAATACAATTCAATATAAATGAGTTGCATCTAAAATACAATTCAATATAAATGAGTTGCATCTAAAATAAAATTCAATAAGAATGGGTTGCATCTAAAATAAAATTCAATAGGAATGGGTTGCATCTGAAATACAATTTAATAGGAATGGGTTGCATCTGAAATATAATTCAATAAGAATGGGTTGCATCTGAAATACAATTCAAAAAGAATGGGTTGGATCTGAAATAAAATTCAGTAAGAATGGATTGCATCTAAAATACAATTCCATATAAATGAGTTGCATCTAAAATACAATTCAATAAGAATGGGTTGCATCTAAAATACAACTTAATAAAAATGGGTCACATCTGAAATAGGAATGGATTCCATCTAAAAGACAATTCAATGAGAATGGGCTGCAATAGAAATACGATAAAATAAGAATGGGTTGCATCTGAAATATGATTAAATAAGAATGGGGTGCATCTTAAATACAATTCAACTAGATAATGGCAACTCCGCGGAGTAGCAAATCCCAACGAACAAAATATCAATTACCGAATTCCAATCAATTATACTCATTACTTTGGTTAAAATTGAAAAATTTAGATTTTAGAATTGCGAATTCCTGCAAAGCAGCCATTTTGAATTTTCTGAGGTACAAATCTGAAAAATAATACAGTGTATTGTGATCTACTCCAAAATTCCTTCAATTTGAGTAATATATAGCCATCCGTTGAAGGGATCGAAAAGTTATTGCGAAATCGTACATTAGACGGCCATTTTGAATTTTACGAGGCTCGAATCAGAAAAAAGATACAATATTTGCAATCTACTCTTACTTGGCTTTCATTTGAGTATAATAAAGCTATACTTCAGAAAGATCTAAAAATTTCTGTTTTCCTGACCCCCCATACACGGGCCCCTGGGGGTCAGGATGAAAAACATGGAATATATGTGAAATACATAGATGTTGCGAATACAATACCAAAATTTCAAACAATAATATTAATTACTTTGGTTTAGAATGAAAAATTTATGATTTTTGCGAAAAAGTCCCGTCATTTTTAAAGCGGCGGCCATCTTGAAAAAATCCATTTTGAATTTTCTGAGGTACAAATCTGATAAATAATACAATAATTGTGATCTACTCCAAAATTCCTTCAATTTGAGTATTATATAGCCATACTTTGAAGGGATCGAAAAATTATTGCGAAATCGTACATTAGACGGCCATTTTGAATTTTACGAGGCTCGAATCAGAAAAAAGATACAATATTTGCAATCTACTCTTAATTGCCTTTCATTTGAGTATAACAAAGCTATACTTCAGAAAGATCTAAATATTAGCGAAAAATCCGTCAACTAATATTTGAGTTATCTTCTGGACGGACGGACGGACTGACTGACAGACTGACGGACTGACGGACGGACGGAGGGCTTCACTATATCCCTACCGAACTTCGTTCGTTGGGATAATAAGAATGGTTGCACTTAAAAACTATTCAATATCAGTTTTTCAAAAATAAATTCTATCAATGTAAACTATAACCTTTATCAAAATGAAAGAATAAATGTGAGAATTTATATTTTAGATTTGTTCTCACTAATTGTCTATTCCTTCAACCAGATGTGTCTGATTCCAACACAAGGAAGATTTCATTTCATTGGTCGCGCTGTCCAACGAGTTGTGATAGCGTTCTTGTAAATACTGTACTAGTGATCTAACTCACGACACATTGGATTAAAACGTACATGATTTTATCTCGGTGTTATCACTCATGGATGGTCAATTGTGGCTCGAAAATGGTCACACTTTCAGTGCCATAATCCAAAGGACACAGCCAGCAAACTTAGACAGCCAATACTCTCAAGATTGGACATATCAAGTAAAAGAACAAGAAAGTAATACTAGATAACAGCGATGGCTGCCATTTTTTGAATATGGCTACAAATGTTGAAAAATCTAAGGATTCAAAAATTCTCTTCAATGATTTGTATTTCATTTTTTGGAGTAATTTGTGATAAATCATACACCCCTTGGGTGTCTTTATCACTGGTATGTTTATGTTATATTTATATTATAATATATATAAAAACAAATAAAGAATACAAAACCCAACACTACCTTGACATTGATTGCATAAGTGCCTCCAGAGAGTCATGGAAACTCGCCGTCACAGTTGGCGTCTTTGGCTTAAGTGTGACATACCGTCCAGTTGTTTTATTTGTCGTTTTTTGAAGTGCGCTATCTCGCATCTCTTGAAATAATGTTGATATCATCTAAAACATTAAAATTAATTTATTGTGATTATTGTAATTACACATTATATATTTTTATCAAAAAATCAAAATGGCCACCATGTAATTTACCCATAATGCCCCAAAAAATCTAATGTTTGATATATTGTTGAGCAAATGGAGCTGAATGAAGCAAGAATATAGCACAAATTGTAAGCGTATTATGCAACCCTTAATCATCATCCAATGCATGCGTCAACACACTAGTATTGTACATATCTTTAAATCTGTAACTGTAAATATGTTGTAATTGTATTATTTATCACTTTGTAATTGCAGAAGAAGTGAGTAGCTCCCACAATTCTTTCATATTCTATCGTATTCGGGGATTCCCCATTACATCATCTCCGCATCATCTCCAATCAAATTGCAGGATGTGCGCATGCGTAAAGTAACATTTGAAATCATGGAAATAGCGTTTGTTTCAATTAACATCATTTCAACATCATCATTTCAAAACTACGGTAATACTATTGAAGTTACTCGATCCAAACTTGTAGAGAATAATCATAAAACAACAACGAACATTGTGTTTATAAAATTGGTCATCGAACGTGCCGAATACTACAGGTCATCTTTGGGAAATCTCCCCCCTGTTGTAATTGTAAACTTATGGAAAGGTACTCTCCCTAGAGGGGGACATCTAGATAATATAATACAATACTTAGGGGAACATTCTTTTTGATTCTCTGTCCTGGTAAACTGGGGCCTATGGGCGATAGGAAGTAAAGTAGAAGTGTTAAAAACAAGACCAGGTGGTAACAAGCTACAGTTATTAACATCATATAGCAATGTCAACACCATATGATGAGCTTATGTATGTTTTACAGACTATGAGCTGATAACCCCAATATATTTAATTTATATCAAATAAAATGTTTTCTATAAATTTCTGATTACAAATATTTGAAGTGAAGGAGCATAAAAAACAGTGTATGACTTTTTTCATCAAGCTGACATTTTGAGAAGTAGCTATAACAGGATTTAATTTTGCAATATGGTGCTATGGCATAGTGCTTACAAATATGATGAAGAAAACACTGCACGACAGAGTTGTGCTACAGGCATTTTAGACTACATTACTTCCTCTGTTATTTGTTATTTGATGCTCGGCATTTAGCCATTCCCTGGAGGTGCCCTCGGGTAGTCACAAACAGTTGGAAATTATTTCATATTCATATTCCCATAGAAGGCAATGACAGCTATCATTGGGTTATCATAATCTTATCGGCATCAAAACTGTTCACCTAACCCTATTCAGAGGGTTTCTAAAACAATTCTGGGATCTGTTTTTGGAAACGTCATAACTTACAATGTGGTCTCAAGTCATTGTTTGTCAAAAAGTATACAATGGTTTTCTGGGAATCTTAAAGATGGAATGTCAGGTAGAAACACAATAAGAGTACCCCCCCACTTATTGGTCTCAATATATCAATATGGTATGTAAGATAGTATATAAGCAGTTAGAATGGAACATCAATGACTGTCAGGGAGAAAAACCACAAGAATGGTCTCTTTAAGTTAAGATCCTCCAAGAAAAACAAAGCCATTGGCCTCATGGTATAAGAGCATTGAAATATACCTGGTTATTGCTGTCAGTTAGTAGGGCCAGGGCATCTTGCCTTAGTGTATCCTTGTTCTTGTCAAGGAAATTCTTTACCTGAAAACATACAAAAACATGATATTAACATGGCACAATATCACAAAGAATTAACATGCAATCACCACCTGCCATTTGTTATGGACAACAAACGCCAACCGCCAAGCACCATCCAAAAAATGTTGGAGACAATAACAATTTGTCACTACTTGTTGGGTGACATAAAAATCGTAACAATTGTTACACATGATGCAGCTGGATGCCAGTCACTGCGGACCTGTGGGTGTTACAATATTAAAAATCTGAATGCACAAATGTCATCAGCCCAACCAACTCGATAACATATGATTTCATAATCGTATAATGACTATCTAATTTCTAGCTATCACAGAACAAAACCTTTTGGCAGATCCAATAAAATAAGATCAAAACATGCATTATCTTCACCCTACACCCTTTTGTGTATTTTGCAAATGATTATGGGATTACATATCAATTATAATTAGTTGTATTGAGTGAAATCTAATTCTAATCAGCTGAAAGTATATTGGAATTGAATCATGTCTTTGTTTCATAAGACCTATAGATGAGGTTTTTAGTAATTCAAATATATTCCATCTCGAAGTTTAAAGAGAGTAACAGGCCGCTAGAAACAGGCAACCTGTAAAATAATCACTTATTCAATTCTGATAAATAAAGGATTGGTATCGATTGAACTGAATTCAAAAATGTTATTCTCTTAAACCAATTATTGAAAACATGGTTGTTTTTGTTTACATTTTTTTTTTGGTGCAATTGTTTTTTGTTCCCTTCTACCAATTCTTGAGAATGAAATAAAATATCTTTCTGAACTTTGTTGGAACAAAATAGCATAAACAACATTTTCTATGACCTCTCCTATTATAGTCATACAAAGAAAATTTTGGTTGATTTAACGAAAACTATTCAAAAAATTAAAACAAAACCCCCCAAAATAGATAAGAATTGAGATAAACCTTTTATTTCATTAACAAAATACTTTTTTAAATCAACCAAAATTTCCTCTGTACAATTACAATATTGAGAGACCTAAACATGTTGTGCTTATGTCATTTTGTTCCAATGAGGTTCGGATAGATGTTTCATTTCATTCCGAACATATGATACCAAAAAGAAATGAAGTGTCTGATCTGTTTATTAAAAAAATTATAAAGAAAAATACATATTTTCGAAGAAATTAATTCAATCTATAGTTTGAATATACCGGAAAAATCCTCCTGTTATGTGATTGGTTGTTGAATTTGTTTAACATAAACCTGATTGGCTGCCTGGTTCAAGGCGCTTGTTGGCGCTTGTGTGACACAATGGGGATTCCCCTCGCTAGCCGAGGAATCGATTGTGTTTAATTCTGGAGTTTGGTGTTCTGTTGATTATTTACGATATTTGGGCAATAATATACCCAAAAGTTATTCTCAAGATATATCCATGGTATGTGAGATATTATATGAGCAATAACAATAGGACATCATTGATTGTCTGGGGGAGAAACCTATGGCATAATGCATCTTTAAATTGACAATGACGTGTAGAATTTTCAGAATTTTTTGAATACTGGTTTAAGAGAAACATGTGTTCAAAAAGTTCAACATATCGATACAAATCCTTTGTCAATTCTGCATCTTCAATCTTTTTATTTTTATATTTGAGATGAAGATATTTTAGAAAAATTAGAATTGAAAATGAAACAATTGTATGATTGCTTCGAACATGCCAAACTCTCTACCAATGCCTTTAATTGTATTCATCTCAGACCAAATGTGATGAACATTTAATGAAATGTGTTATTATGTTCATCAGCAATGTAAACCCAATGTACCCTTTATATTCTCTTAAAAGACAGCTTCATCTTCCCTTTTCAGCCTGAAAGAATATCTTATCTCGCAGAGCTAACATGAGCTCATCATCGCTGACTTTCTAAATATTTCCATTCACTTTTTCAAATGTCTGAATTTCAAAAGGAGGCTTTTCTATATCAAGGGTCATTGACCCTCTGATATCCCTTTGACCCAGTTTGACCAACATTAAGACATTAAGGGGTTGTGACAGCCACTGTTGGTACACAAGTAAATTACATCGGGGCCTGTATGAGGTAGTACGGTATAGTAGTAGTAATTTTCAAGCCTCGTTCAAGCTTGTACGGGGCCCGATATAATTTGCCTGAACAATAATGTTGTCTAAACTGGTTTAAAACTAAACTCTGTACTCTTGGGATGAGTTGTCTTGGGATGAGATGTCTTGGGATGAGTTGTCTTGGGATGAGATGTCCTGTTACCCTTTCAAGGATATCAAACTACAATTTGCCTCTTAAAAACATCAGGGTGCTTTGGTACACACTACACAGCTTAATCAGATGCGCTCAGGTGCCCAATATCCGGATTACTTATATCATAGATAATTTTTTATTTCACACCAGTCATATTTTTGCCATTTTTCGGATGTGTAATTATCATACATCATGTATATAAAAAAATACCCCAAATGAGTGAAATCTACATATGTATTAGGCTAGTTATTCATAAATATTCAGAAAAGCAAAGTTATGATGGTACAGCATGAGAGCGATCAGAAGAATATGGCAAATGGTATGATGTTTGTTTCGTTACGATTTATAATCAAAACTATCTCTCAGTGTGTAATGACCAAGGGTGCCTCCTCCGAGAAGCTGTGGTGTAACGAAGTCAGACACAGACCTAAAAGGGAGTGTCTTAAATCAAATGCCCCATTGGGAATTGAATCCAGGAAATTTCGGTTCAGAGTCTGATACTATCAATACTAAGTCAACACAGCTGAGTTGCAGTAGCAACTTGCTATTCAGGGTCGTTATGACATCCCACTTAACGTTGACCCCATTGTCACCCAGGATATACACAAGGGTGAATCCCACATCTGACACCAAAATAACGACCTGAGATGCCTCCAGGGAGCTGTAGTGTAACATCCCAGATACAGACTTGGCCCCCAGACTTGAAAGGGAGTATGCTAAAATCAGTGCCCCTTTTGGGCATTCTGATGTTCATAACATCTCTCACTGTGCACTTCTTCTTAGTGTTTTGAGCTATCGACCTTGGGGAAGATGGTCTTGATCACTACTATAGCGGTGTCTATTAAGTTATTAACTATAGATTTCTTATTTCATTTATTCAACATGTTTTAAATTATAATTGTTTGCATTCATATTACACTTTAATGTACTTCAACTATTGTAACTCTCTATTAATTAGAGGTAAATAAATATACAATACAATGTAGATGAACAGAGATGGAGAAGATGTGGCTTTCCACGATGCATGCGGACATCAAACCAAGGACCTTCCAATTCAGCGTCTGATGCTCTTCCAACTGAGCCATCAAGACTTAAATCAACACAGCTGAGGTGTAGTAGCAACTTGCTATCTAGGATCGTTATAACTTACAAGTACGTTACATTGACTCATAAGTTCAAACAAATGGGAAATCAATGATATTCTCTGGGTATTCACAACAGCTACATGTGTGCATATAAACGGAAGTGATATTGTTGAATAATCTTAGTAAGTTCAAATAAGAAATGCTTGATAAAATGCACAGTAGGAGTATTAATAGTAGTGGTCACAAGCTAAGCTCAAATCACTTACAAAAATGTTTGATGATATACCATACACTTACACAAGCCTAACGAGAAATGTTTGACGATGTATTTAAAATTTGCTTAGGTTATTCAGAGCATCATCTTTCAATTGCAAGATAAGAAGGTAAATTTGGGGGGTTTTATACCACATTTTCACAATGGAAAACAATTAAATGTATTCCATTTTGATTCTATATTCAGGTAATGTATGTTTAATTTTCAGAAGTACATGTGATATTGTCCTTGTCCTTCAGGTTTCACACTTACACAATCATAACATAGAAAATCAAAAAATCATACCCTTGCACTACACTAACATATAATGCTTCCTGGTCATCTCAACCCCAAGTCAACTCAACCCAGTAAAACTCAACCCCAAGTCAAGTCAACCCCAGTAAAACTCAACCCCAAGTCAACTCAACCCTGTAAAACTCAACCCCAGTAAAACTCAACCCCTATATTTCTATATATTGATAAACTTATAAGAAAGTTTATTTCATAAAAATAATTCTGATGATTCAGTTTGTGATTTTCATTCTTAGACCACTGCCTTTTTAGCTAGTTAATAATGAGTTTATCTCCAAAATGTCAACATGATACTAATAGGATTAAAATATGGGTCATTTTATTAATCTTGCTAATACGTTTGTTTTGTTGTAATTACAAATCCCTCTGAGGTTGACACTCGTGATTATTTGGCAAACTGAGAAATTTTACCAGTAAATTTTCTATTAATTACAATACAAACCTATTCCATGACATATGCTTACTCCCCTTATTTGGAGTAATTGGCAAGTCTAAAATACACCCCTTTATAAAAAAGTGGACTGGCCCAAGTGGCCAATATCGATCCCCAACTCATTATGTATTCATATTTAATACGCTAACAAAATAAATAAATAACCTCCATTTTCCCAAAGGCGGGGAGGCTGGGTGGGCCTCTGGTCATGGAATAGGTTTGTATTGTAATTAATAGAAAATTTACTGGTAAAATTTCTCAATTACATACAATCCAACCTATTCCATGACATATGCTGAATAAAAAGTTAAGGAGGTGGGGACCTCGTTACTAAAAGTACAAAAGAACTATATTACCATCCTAATGAGATGTCACCCAAAGAATAGTACATGTACCATTACCCCCATCTGCTAGTTGGATCCAAGACGGAGGCTGTTACATGTCCAACTGGAGACTGTTATGTCCTATCAGAGTGAGCAGTCTTAGCCATTTAAGGGTAATGACCAACTCCTATGAATAGAGACTGGTTAACCAAGAAAGGGCCGTTTAAACCAAACGAGGTAACTGTTGCAGTTCTTCAAGGGTCCAGGTCACAAGCTAGTTGAGTTGAACCCTTCTGCAAAACAGTCGAGGCCAAGCTTCCCACGTGAATCCATCTGCAGATATAGAGTGAGTGAAGAAACACTTACGTCTAAAAGTTGCAGAGAGTGCCAGCTAGTACCACCGGGCCCAGCTTGTGCATGCCTTTCTCCATTACAGTCACATCTCTGAGGTAGTAACTTGTGAAGGTGTTGTGGGATGCCCATGAACACCTCTTGAAGAGTGCTGTTAATGAGGCATTGGCTTGTAGAGCTAGTGAGGAAGATATGGCTCTTGTCTCGTGTGGTCGTATCTTCCCTTGTAACTTGCTTTCTTCTGAGGCATTCTTGTAGACATAGTTCAACAGTTGTTTCACCCAACTAGAGAGAGTGTTAGGGTGTACATCAGAACTGGATCCTTTCTTGAAGGGGATGAAAAGTCTATTTCTGGATCCTCTGATAGGAACTGTGGCTTGAAGATAATATCTTAGGACCCTCACAGGGCATAAGAATTTATCTGGCGTTTCATTTCCAACGAAATTAGCTAGAGACTTGATGGTGATTGGTTGGAATCTGGACTGTCCTTCTGCGCAATTCAATGATTTCGGCAGGAAACCAACAAAAGGGAAAAGTACCGCTTCCAAGTTGTTTCTAGTCCATTGTATACGCCTAATGTCTATGGCATGGATGTCAGAACGTCTTTTCCCTGAAGCTAACAGTAGAAGGAAAAGTGTCTTCCACGATACGTGTTTCAGATCAGCTGTCGACATTGGTTCGAAGGGAGGTTTGGTTAACTCGTGTAGTACAAACACTAGATCCCACTTAGGCATCAGATCTTTAGGCTGAGCATCTTCTAATTTGAAAGAATGGATCAGATCAGAGATTTCTTGAGTCGACGAGAGTGATGTGCCACTTGATTGTTGAAGGACTTGATTGATGACAGTTCTATAACCTTCAATGGTACTCACTGTTAACTTCTTTACTGAATGAAGATAAAGTAAGAAGTCAGCTATTTCTGGAACAGAGACTGTGCAGGGATCCAGATTCCTCTCAGAACACCAAATAGAGAACTTCTTCCATTTGGCATCATAGACTCTGTTGGTGGAAGGTCTTCTAGCATCTGATGCGATTCTTTTTGACACTTGTGTTGAAAAACCCTTCTGAGTGAGAGATTTCGTGAGAGTTTGCAAGCGTGAAGATGGAAAAGTTCTGGATTTTGATGGAAGATCTGACTTCTTGGCATTTTGAGAAGTTTCTTCCATGGGGGGATTTCCCTTGGATAGTCCACTAGAAGATCCAATAGTTCTGGGAACCACGGCTGATTCTGCCATTTTGGAAGGATTGCTAGAGCTAAACAGTCGTGATCCTTTATCTTTTGTAGAACTAATCCTATCACTGGGGTGGGGGGATAGATGTACAGATGAAGATTTTGCCAGCTTAGGGATAGAGCGTCTGTTGCCCAAGCTGCTTGATCTTGTATTGGTGAGACATACACTGGTAGTTGGTTGTTGTAGCATGTCGCCATCATGTCTAGATTTGGAGTTCCCCATATCTTGAACATCTGTTTGACAACTGCTGGATGTAAGGACCATTCTGTCGCAACTATCTGGTTTCCCCGGCTCAACAGATCTGCTCTTCGATTCAGTCGACCTGGCACATGTCTTGCACGAAGACGGACTTGATGTAAATCGGCCCATAACCATATCTGTCGAGATAACTCTGTCAGTTTTGCTGACTGTGTTCCCCCTTGTTTGTTGAGGTAGGTTGTCGCAGTTGTGTTGTCTGCACAAATTAACACCATCTTTCCTTGGAGGTGAGTCTGAAAGTGTTGAAGGGCTTTCTGTATGGCTTTTAGTTCCAGCCAGTTTATGTGGTTGTTGGATTCTGATTGGGACCAGTTTCCACAGCACTCTTTCGATATGTTCCGATCCATGTGAGCACCCCACATCGCTGTTGAAGCATCTGTGAATATTGTCACTTCTGGTGAAAATGGAGCTAAAGTCATCCCTTTCTCCAGATGCTGGCCTTGATTCCACCACAACAGGTCCAATCTTGCAGTACAATCTACTGTTATCATCTTGTCCAATGGATCTCTGAGTTGAGACCAATTCTGAGACAGGCATTGTTGGAGGAACCTCATGTGTAATCTCCCCAGTGGGACTTGTTTCTCTGCTGATGCCAGTAATCCCAGAAGAGACATCCACTGCTTGGCTGTTGCTCGACTTTCTGTGAGGAACCAGTCTGTTAGGTGTAGAATTTTGTCTATTCTGTCCTGGGGGGGATAGGACATCCCTAGATGAAGGTCCCACCGTACACCTACATAGTCGAAGATCTGCAACGGAATCAACTGCGATTTCTTGTGATTGATGATGAAGCCAAGGTTTTCCGTCACCGTCATCACAATCCATAGGTGATCTGAGACTTCCTGTGGCGATGCTCCTCGGATTAACCAATCGTCTAAATACCGGTGGAGTTTTATCCCGAGCTTGTGGAAGAATGAGGCTAGGGGTTCCAGGATCTTGGTGAATATCATCGGTGCTGTTGCCAGACCGAAAGGCAGGACTCGAAATTGCAGAATTTTTCCGTTGACGACAAAACGGAGATACTTCCGGAAGTTCTCTTTCATCATTATATGAAGATAAGCATCCCGAAGGTCCAAGGATACTGCCCATTCGCCTTGTTGGAAGGAGGTCATGTACTGCTGTACTGTTTCCATTTTGAATTTGGGAACTATTAAGACTTGATTTAAAGTTCTCAAATTGATGACGGGTCTGTCTTCTCCATTCTTCTTCTTGACCAAAAATAGATTGCTGTAAAACCCTGGGGAATGTCTGTTTAGAACTTCTTCTACAGCATTCTTTTACAGAAGGTCCTCTACCACTCTGCTGAAACGAGCTGCTTTGCTCGATGTTGAAGACTCGAACTGGTTTGGTTCGGTGCATAACGTCACAGTTGAATTCATCTGTGGGATGTATCCTACCTGGATCATCTTCAGTATAAACGGATCTTCCGTTAACAGCTTCCAATTCGGAAGGAAAAACATCAATCTTCCCCCTACAGGTCCTGGAAATGGAGGAATTGTGAAGATTGGGATCATAGAATGGTCACTTCTTGGAGAATCTGTTGTCTTTGTTGAAGTGCTTACCACCTTTATTGTCGTATTTCTTCTTGGAATCACGAAAATCTGACTTGGGTTTGTCTTGTGATTTGGACCAATCTTTGTTAGAAGATTTCTTCCTGTAGTCAGACCTGGATTGGCGTTGGGACCTGTCTTTGTCTTTACTAGATCTAGAACTGGACTGGGCCAAGGTAACTAGTGCTTGGTTTGTCAGATTTGAGGAGGCTGAGTCAACCAAATCTTTAAGTTGTGACTCTGGATACAAAGTGGTAGATGTATGCTCAACTGGTAGTACCCTCATAGATTCGCGGAAGCGTGTTGGTACTTGTTCTTGAATCAGATCACGTTGAAGTAGTGCTGAGTTGGTGAGAGTCTTGAGAATACCTTCAGTAGCAGTAACAGAGGCTGTCGAACCCCTAAGGAGTAAATCGCCAATGGAATCTAACAACTGGGTAACTAGTGGATCCGTGTTGTTGGATAAGTGTGCTGTGAGTTGGGTAACTAACTTTGAAACAGAACCTATATACCACTCTGAGTACACCAAAGGTTGAAGGACAGCCCTCAAGTTCTCTTCGAGACCCTTCCAGTTTTTATTGGAGAGTTGAGTTTTAGTATCAGCATTCTTGAAGAAATCACTGAAGGTTTTATCATTTGGGACTAAGTTTCCAAGTGAATTATTGAGTTTGAGGGGCCGTACGACTGAATCATCTCCCTTGGCTAATCTATAATTTGAAGATTTGATTCTGAAGAGTTTTCCCTTTGTGTTGAAACCGGAAGTGGCAGATGAGATCTGATTATTGATATTCTGCACCAACTGATGGAACACTGGGGGACAAGGTAATGAAGCTTTAGTGACTGAAGATTCATCAACTTTCTGGAGAGCTACCCTAGTCAAAGATTCTTTAGAATTAGTGGAGCTGTTGACTTGGTCAATTTCTAAGGCTGATATGGTTGAATCCCATAAGGAATGAACTAACAAGACCGCTTCTTCTTCAGAGGACTTAGATTTAGACGGCTCGTTGTCATCAGAATCCAAAATACGAGGTTTAGAATCTGAATTTTGAGATTGTGAAATATTGGAACTAAAATTGTTGATAATGGATCGTGAATTCTGAGTTCCCTGACGTGAAGTCCCGGAAATCCTACTCGGCGAACTATCAGAGGGTCTATTAGTGTGAGAGTAGGAGTGGTGAGACAATCTAGAAGGGCTTCTAAGCTGAGAAACGGGAGATCTTGAACGATTTCGAAAAGTTGACCTACTTACGTCCACGTGGTGTGTGGCGGAATAGTTGTAGTCACGAAATTTGGTGTCATTTCGGTGCGAATCGTTACCTCGTTTTCCCGTCTCTACGGCCTTCTTACTGCTCCGGGGGGACTGCTCTCTCGGAAGCGAGTATTCCGAGTTGTGTAAATAGCTTGAAGACGGGCTTCTACGGTCAGAAGGAGGTCTCGTTGGTGGCCTGTTTCCAAGGGTAGCCATTTTCCTAGTCACCGCCTCTTCCACTAAGGATTGGACATAATCTGTGACGGATGTGGTAGCCAAAGAGACGTCGTTTATCACTTCATTCCCGGTCAAAGTTGACGAGGTCGAGGGACCGTTCAAGTTCAATTCAGAAGTAATTTCACCCTGAATAGAGCCCTGTTCTGCCATACTAGACTAATGTTATGACTATGATACTCTCTATTCAAAAAACAAATTCTGACTTATAAGTAACAGAAATTTGTTGAGTGAATAGATCGTACGATATATATTGACTTGAAAAATTTTCCAATTACTCCTACGTGGCAAGAATTAAATATGAATACATAATGAGTTGGGGATCGATATTGGCCACTTGGGCCAGTCCACTTTTTTATAAAGGGGTGTTTTTTAGACTTGCCAATTACTCCAAATAAGGGGAGTAAGCATATGTCATGGAATAGGTTGGATTGTATGTAATTGGAACATGACCATTGCTTTCCAGGGGCATAGCCAGCTTTCAGTCAGGAGGAATGCAATCGCCCCAAAAAATCACGTTTTCAGTCAGGGGTGCCGATCGTGGCATAAGCGAGCCAAAAAAGATATGTTTTGACAAAAAATGATGCAACTTCCTTCAAAATTGGTGGGAGGGTGTGTACGCAACCCTCCTGGCTACGTCTATGCTTTCAGTCTATTAATTACTAAATGTTAATGATTTTGTTAAAGCATGTTCATATGAATAAAAAAAGTTATATTACATTGTTAATTATTTCTAAAAATCATCATAAAAAAAATTAAATTAGACATTGCACAAATGAATAGGGTTGAGTTTTACTGGGGTTGAGTTTTACAGGGTTGAGTTGACTTGGGGTTGAGTTTTACTGGGGTTGACTTGACTTGGGGTTGATTTGACTTGGGGTTGAGTTGGACTGGGTTGAGCTGACTTGGGGTTGAGATGACCTGTCACCCATATAATAACTTACACTACAACACTTATACTTACACTATCAGAGAATAACATACACTTTCAGTACAAAACCATATACTTACACTACGATATAAGAATACCATAAACTTACACTATGACAATAACTTAGAATACCATACACTTGCATTAAAAAACATGGAATACCATAAACTTACACTACAATAACATAGATTATTATTTCCATGCCGTGATACTCGTTCTCTCATTGGTCAATTAGATAACAAGTGACTAAAAATATATAGAGGTATTCCATGTCTCCCTGCTTAGAAAACGTGTGAAGAGTGTATTCACCAGCAGTGACGTCATTTTTAGTGAATACCACTATTTATTGAAATTAAAATAACGTCACATCACTTAATTCCCAGTAAAAAGTATTTATGATAGACGGCGAAGTTGTATCAGGAAGTCCTCCAAAGAAAAGGTTCACAACTGTATAACAAACAGGGGATAAACATTTTACAAATGTATTCAAAAAGTCAACATATCAAAGCACAAATCAGTCAATATGGTACAACGAAAATGGGACTTCTGCGCATGTTAAAATTTTTCGTCAAAACTCAACTTTTGTTCAAGTTGATACGATTGTCTTTCGAACTAGAGACTTACCTCATTCGAAAGATCATAAAAGACTTTATCTTTACTGAAAATCTTAGATCCAAACATAGTAGAATACGCCGTCAGTCCGCATTTGATTTTTTGAAGTGAGTTTCGAAGATCGTCAGATTTCTCCGACTGATATCGGGTTATCTCAAACTGGTTCGTTTATAAATACGAATTTCTTTACCGTTGTAAGGCGCATGCGCAAAATTGATTTATAAACCTTATTGGTTGATTGTTTTTCTCCTGCGCATGCATGAAGTCTGATGAACATTTATGACGAAGACCGGAGCAAACATTACTAGCTCTCGAACAAAATTCCAAGATTCAGGTCATTTCGCCGTGTTTGCTAAGCGTGTATACGTGAATGACAAGCTGTTTTGAGTAGATCGGGTACCTGTTTTAGACACAACATTGATTTAACTTGACATTGATGTGCACATTGGCACTTTTGAGCATGTTAATACAAGTTTTTACACGCTTAGCACGAGACGGGTTTTCGAAAAATCTGTTATCTGATTCACTCGATTATCGTATGGATATTTATTTCTGCTGACATTTCAACACCACATCACATAGAATTACGATGCAGAATGATAATAAAACCCAAAACAACTACTAAATTCCACTTGTTATTTCACAGGAGGTAAAAATGCAAACTGCCTAGATTCTTTGTAAGGGTCGTCAGACATCGGATTGGCCGCCATATTTGAAATGAAAATATCACTAAATAGAGGTCTACGCATGCCTCAACATTTCGACTGAAATTTGAAGACTATGGACTTCAACATGGAAGTTCCGAATCTAATTTTTATCCATGGTGTGACTGAGATCGTGAATTATAACAGAATATTGGCAACGTTTGGAAATACGTTGAAACTAGATGTCATATCATAACAAATATTGTGTACTTCTAACTTTAATATTGTGTACTAAGTACTTTAATGAGGAAATAATAAAACAAATATTGAATTCTGAGATCGTTTAATATCTGTATATATTTCTGAGGGATGTATTCACCTCGCCCTTCGGGCTGCGGTGAATACACCTTCAAAAATATATACAGATATTCAACTCCACAGAATTCAATATTTGTATAATACCATATACATAATACCATACATTTGCATTAAAAACATGGAATATCATAAACTTACAGTACAATAACATAGAATACCATATACATAATACCATACACTTGCATTAAAACATGGAATACCATCCACATACTCTACAAAAAGAAAGAATACCATAGACTTACATTGTATGTGATAGGGCCTGCATAGTGCTTGATGGTAAACTCTGGAGATGACATTCTAGGCTTGTCATAAAGTAGATGCTCTGTATGGGTGAAGTGGCATTTCTCCAAGAATGAACTGTCTGTACCCTAAAAATAGAAATAAATAAAACAAAAAGCTATGAATATGCAAAATGTCACCACCTGCCATTTGTTACAGATGTTGGACTGCCGTCACGAAAAAGGGAGACCATTACAATATGTCACCATTTTTGGTGGTGACATAAAAAAAACATTGTTTGATCTCAACAACTTTACTTCTAAATTCTGTCACATCATTGATCTTTAATATACATGCATATACACTTTTACGAGGAATTCTACACAAGTTTGATGCTGTTACATTTATGGTTATTGAATGATTTGAAGTGCATTAGAGGATACATTCTACTTGAGAAATTCTGTATTGGAACGAGACAAAGTCGAGTGCCAATACAGAATATCGCGTGATCCTCTGTATTGCTACTAAGAATGTCCCTCCGTACCAATATTTTCTGTATTGCTACAGAGACGGTCAATGGGAACAATCTCAATAGCAATACAGATTGGTACAGCACAAGAACTGACCAATCAGAGGGCTTCATTTTACAGATCATACGATAAAATAAAGTTATTGAGTTACTAAGATCAATTTAGAATTTTAATATTTTCAAATCTTGAATCCCAGGCTCTAAAATCAGTTGAAACCAGAGAATTCTTTATTTTTGCCACCTTTTGACATTTTACTACATACCTATACAACTTTAGACACTTAGTATAATTAGACAGCAGAGATCATTTCTACACATTTTATAACAATTTTTGTGTAAATTGGATGAAAATTGTTCAAATAAGAGCAATTTTAGTGAAAATGTGAAAATTTTTGTGACAGAGTTTCTCGTCACTCTGGGTCTCAAGGTCATTTCTGAGGTGACGAGAATTCTCATCATTCTAGGTAGTCAATTACTTGTTATAACAGTGGTTAATAAGCCAAAGGTGGGCTGGGCAAAATTGTAATTAATTGTTTTATATTTTATTGAATTGTAAGACTGACCACTATAAATACTGTAAATAAATAAACTAAACTTAACTCTTATAAATCAATTATATAAGTACATTGAAATTGTAAAAATGATCTGTAAAATACAATGAAATATTGTACATCAAATATATATAAGAAAGCAGAATCGGGGACAGAACTGGAAGTTTGAAAATATATGACCAGCTGTTGCTTCCAGGGTTGGAGAAATATGATATACAATATTGCTCCAACAGAGGGGAATTTGATACAAATTTGTTTTTTCAAAATATGAGCCAGGCCACAGGAAAAAGGATCTTATCACAGATTTTTTCAATATTCTGATTTTTGTTTATCTTAAAAAGCACAAAGAAACCTTTCAAATGAGCCATGGCTTATGTCCTAACAATTTTTCCTTGCATATATAGACCAAAAAGTCGGATCTGAATTTAGCACATTTTCCTCTTAATCGTGGACATATTTTTGGCTCTGTAGCACAATTTTAATTTTTGTGATAAGACTGTTTTCCTATGGCCAGGCTCATATATATCCTGCCATTGTGTGGGTCTCCCTAAAATCATTTAAAATGGAGAATAATATAGTTCTAAATAATAAAGATTAAAATATGTTGTTACAAAGTAAAATCTTTTATTATTGCAAGTCAATCACTGGATGTGTTTACCAGAAATCCATGTAACTCTATCTAATGAAACAAGTTCAAATAACAATTAAAGAGAACAATGACTTACACCCAAACGTTGAAATACGACTCTAATTAACACCTTAAAAATTTGCTAATTGTCATACAATACACATATCATGTCAATTATATTATGCCATGTTTTAGCTTTCATTAATTGGTTTTAATGGCATAAAATATGATATCTTAATTGTTTATGAAGCGTGGTGAATTGATTAAATAAGTGATACGGGTACCTAATCCTATTTGTAAAGTGACCGCTGAGGTACTTGTACAATGTCATGAGTGGTACATGCACTTATTGGTGAAGTGACATGAGTGGTACATGCACTTCTTGGTGAAGTGACATGATTGGTACATGCACCTATTGGTGAAGTGACGTGAGTGGTACATGCACTTATTGGTGAAGTGACATGAGTGGTACATGCACTTATTGGTGAAGTGACAGGAGTGATACATGCACTTATTGGTGAAGTGACATGAGTGGTACATGCACTTATTGGTGAAGGGACAGGGGTGGTACATGTACCTTTTGGTGAAGTGATGGGTGTGGTACATTATACATATTGGTGAAGTGACAGAAGTGGTACATGCACTTATTGGTGAAGTGAAAGAAGTGGTATTTGAACCTATTGGGAAGATGACACAAATGATACATGTTCCTATTGGTGAAGTGACAGACACAATTAATAACAAAAATACCTTTGGGAAGTTACTCTCATCATCCAGTAGATATATAATCCCATATGGTTTCTTGGCAATCAGGTCCAAAACTAGTTGGTTATCAATGTAATCTATCGATGTCCAAGCAATCCGTTCTCTCTGATATTCTTGTTGCTCTATCTTAAAGATGTGACGGTTGAAGTAGAAGTGAAGGCTCTCGTTGGCATAGTTAATACACAGCTGTTCAAAGCTGTTCAGTTTGAAATCCTAAATATATAAGAAATATTAATGTTGAAGTGAAACTAGCATAAGACATTTTAAGTTTGTATTGATAGTGCCATAATATTATGCCAAAGTTAAAGCTTTTATTGAAATAGATACCAAAAGTAAAGCTTTCATTTGCATAGCATACCAAAATAAGTAAAGCTTTCATTGGCATATAATACCAAAATTAAAGGCTTTCATTAGAATATTATGCCAAAGGTTAAGCTTTCATTGGCATATAATACCAAAAGTAAAGGCTTTTATTGGTATATAATACCAAAAGTAAAGCTTTTATTGGCATATAATACCAAAAGTAAAGCTTTCACTGGCATATAATACCAAAATTAAAGGCTTTCATTGGAATATTATGCCAAAGGTTAAGCTTTCATTGGCATATAATACCAAAATAAGTAAAGCTTTCATTGGCATATAATACCAAAATTAAAGGCTTTCATTGGAATATTATGCCAAAGGTAAAGCTTTCATTTGCATAGCATACCAAAATAAGTAAAGCTTTCATTGGCATATAATACCAAAATTAAAGGCTTTCATTAGAATATTATGCCAAAGGTTAAGCTTTCATTGGCATATAATACCAAAAGTAAAGGCTTTTATTGGTATATAATACCAAAAGTAAAGCTTTTATTGGCATATAATACCAAAAGTAAAGCTTTCACTGGCATATAATACCAAAATTAAAGGCTTTCATTGGAATATTATGCCAAAGGTAAAGCTTTTATTGGCATATAATATCAAAGGATAAGCTTTCATTGGCATATAATACCAAAAGTAAAGGCTTTTATTGGAATATTATGCCAAAAGTAGAGCTTTTATTGGCATATAATACCAAAATTAAAGGCTTTCATTGGAATATTATGCCAAAGGTAAAGCTTTTATTGGCATATAATATCAAAGGATAAGCTTTTATTGGCATATAATACCAAAAGTAAAGCTTTTATTGGAATATTATGCCAAAAGTAGAGCTTTTATTGGCATATAATACCAAAAGTAAAGGCTTTCATTGGAATATTATGCCAAAGGTAAAGCTTTTATGGCATATAATATCAAAGGATAAGCTTTTATTGGCATATAATACCAAAACTAAAGACTTTTATTGGAATATTATGCCAAGGATAAAGCTTTTATTGGCATATAATATCGAAGGTTAAGTTTTTATTGGCATATAATACCAAAAGTAAAGCTTTCATTGGCATACAATACCAAAACTAAAGGCTTTCATTGGAATATTATGCCAAAGGTAAAGCTTTTATGGCATATAATATCAAAGGATAAGCTTTTATTGGCATAATAATTGTTACCAAAATAAGTAAAACTTTCATTGGCATATAATACCAAAACTAAAGGCTTTCATTGGAATATTATGCCAAAGGTAAAGCTTTTATTGGCATATAATATCAAAGGATAAGCTTTTATTGGCATATAATACCAAAAGTAAAGCTTTTATTGGAATATTATGCCAAAAGTAGAGCTTTTATTGGCATATAATACCAAAAGTAAAGGCTTTCATTGGAATATTATGCCAAAAGTAGAGCTTTTATTGGTATATGATACCAAAAGTAAAGGTTTTATTGCCATATAATACCAAAACTAAAGCTTTTATTGGCATATAATACCATAAGTAAAGCTTTAACTGGTATAGAATACCAAAAGTAAAGCTTTCACTGGTATAGAATATCAGAAGAAGAGATTAAATTGGAAAAAATCTGACAGGAGTAATTGGCAAAGAAGATCAGAATAGAGCTTTCCCTGGACTAAAAATGGTGTCTATCTCAAACATGTTTTACTGTACATCAAAAGTAACAATGATCATGATTTGACATCGAAGATGAAAGCTGACAAGGAAAATTAAAGTTCATTATATTAAAAGGTTTTTCCTAGGTTCTGGTGTGACATTTCGCTAAATCGAGTAAATATGTGATACACCAATAGAAGCTTTCAACTTGAAAGTTAATAAACCACATTAGTCTTTACCTCAAAGCCAAATATATCTAGTATTGCTATGGAACTCTGTTTGTTGCTTTGATAAACTGCCTTGTTGACTCGCTGGACCAGCCAGGTAAAAAGTTGAGCATATAAGGCCTTCGCTATTGCATCCCTGGAATAACATGGACAACATGTTATTGATATTAACAAATTTTTTGTATACTCGTTACTATAACGAAATCATTTTGTTATAAAAACATAATAATAAAAAACTACTTGATATATTCAATTAAACAACTATATTATTTTGGGATCTTGGGGATTTGTCTTTGCGTGATTGGTTGTATCGTACTTATTTTTCCAATATTTTTGACACCCATTTACTTATATTCATCATTTCCTAAGCCGTGTCCATTTCAATGTTCGACTTTCATGGCGCTATAAGCTAAACCTATTATGATGTCATTACTACTTTTGTAAAAATATTTTTGTTTTATTGAAATAATAAAAGATGAAACAGATCGCTTCAATATCTAGATGTCATTAGAATCAACAATATGTGGTTGTTCAGGGCAAAGTAACTCAATTCTAAGCCACCTGGGCCATTTTATGAAATTGGATTGCATCAAATGCTGCTGCACTTAATGCCACTGAACCTAATGGTGCTGTACCAAGAAATAATACACAGATATGCATTAAATTATAATGAAAAACATTAAACAGAGAATTAAACATGAACATTAAGTTGTTTGCAACTCAACATAAAAATGATACATCCTGATAGATATATTCAAAGGAAAACAAGATGAAAGGTTGAAAATTGAGAACTTGGTATATATGCACATTAATATAATTCCAATAAAATACTAACGCAAAGAATGAAACAAAAATAAGAGATGGAAAGTTTTCCCACCATCCAGCATTGAAAAACCATCCAATAAAAACTCGAGTTGCGCTGTAAATAGTTGTAGAGTCATGATATTGATGCATTGTGGGTCTCGTGTAATCGTGTTGGCTCCAGTGCCCATTATCGTGACTTGATAAACTTTAAGCCGCAATAGCAAACATTTAACTAATTTTAGATGTTTGCAGAGGAAAATATGATGTAGGTGTAAGTTAATTAAGGAGAAATGTAGCTGTTTATTTAAAGACATCCTCCTTAAAGCAGGTGTCCAGAATCCATACCTCCTTCCCAGTAAAAAGAAAGAAGGTTCTGGGTTTTGGAGCAATGCATACGGAGGAATATAGCAAAAATATGATCTAACCTGGTAGATCTCAGTGTTAGTTAAGACATCAATGGACTGTTTTGGAAGTGTATTCAAATGATTTTTTTCATTTTTTTTCAGAAATAAAGACATCAAAATACATGTTATTTCATTAACTCCTGGCTCAATATTTCATAATCATGTCGACTCTAGTTTTCTCAGCAACTTGGATCACTAGGAAACACCTAAATTGACTATGGTCAATCTTAACACATTTGCTATGAGAATGTTGACATCCAAGAAAGGCCCAAGAAAAACTCAAAACACGATCTCACTCTTTAAACATTTGTCATACCATATATACAGCATAAGTACAGTATATGGGATTAAAAAACCGGAAGCTAAAAACTGCATTTAAATGGTTTGAACAAAATAATTTAAATATGATAGATTCAGGTATTTATCTAAATCTTTAACTTATTAATGATGTTCTTAAGAGAGACTGACTTTTTACTAATCAAGTACAGTGATATGTGTAGCAAATAATGGTTGCCATGGATATCAATTATAGCCGCAAGTGTGAGAATTATATTGTTAATGACAGTTACACAACTACAACATGTCAAAATGAGACAATAATGTATTTATTACAAATGTTTATAATAATCATTACAATCAATTATTTAATTACAACAAGTATTACAAATGTTTATAATAATCATTACAATCAATTATTTAATTACAACAATTATTACAAATGTTTATAATAATCATTACAATCAATTATTTAATTACAACAATTATTACAAATGTTTATAATAATCATTACAATCAATTATTTAATTACAACAATTATTACAAATGTTTATAATAATCATTACAATCAATTATTTAATTACAACAATTATTACAATTTTATAGTAATTATTACAATCCCGAAAGAACAAATTGTGAAGTGAATGTGTAATAAAACTCATCGTGATCCAATTTGCAGTTAATCTATCATCAGCGTTGAAAGAATATTTTCCACTATGTACACGAAGATTAGTTCTATAAATGGGTCTATCTATTTTAAGGAAGGAAACCTATATAAGGAGCACATACAAATGCCAACATCGATGGAAATAATCATGCATGTCATGGAGAGAGCAATACTGATGTAACAGAAATGGGCAAAATTAGATTCACTCTTCACATGGTACTTCTGTTAATATATAACTTAATAATGTTGCGTGTCTAAATAACAATGAAATGACGTAGGCTACGATGTTAGCTCATAAAAATAAAATAAAAATGTACAATAGGCTACACATCACATTACCTGTAGAGACACAAGACATGAACATGATAAAATGTCACTTGATGCCGAAATATAAGCATTGTTACAAATGCCTAAAACTCTGATGTTGACATAAAAAGAACAAAATAAACAACAACAAAAAACAAGCACTGAACTCCAATTGCTAGTCACAAATAGGATCCTTGGTATATGCAGCTATTGCCTTGATCAGGCCATGGCATCCACCTGGTCCATTATCAGTAGCTTGGTATCAGTATACCAAGGGTAGAAAAAGGTGACTATAAAAATTTGCATTAAAATAATAAATTGAGTGAAGTGGGTAAAAAAAATAGATCTATAGCGAAAAACACAGTGATATCTGATCTGAAAAAATGTAATCAATGATTAGTTAGAGTAAAATGAGTAATCTGGATAATTGACTTGGACCTTTTTCGTGTAGGCCTGAATTATCAACTACCCACTCCAAATGTGCTGTGGTCAAAAAAAATACAATTGATATGTGCATTAATTCACAATTATATGTCCATAACTTAAAAACAATTACTGGTTACAGACTTATGGTCCACTGTTATTAATATATACAAATGAACAAAGTCACTTAAGTTTTGTAATCATGACATAACACACATTCTAACATGATACCGACATCACAATAACTAGAACAATTGATTTACTGGTCTATAATCAAGTATGTATGACTGCTATATTTCATGAATGCAAATAGTTGTTTATCATATTATAATCGTAACAAAGACCTCTAACAAAAGGCAACAAAAGGTAACAAAGACCTTCTATGATTTATGTCAAATACATGACCCCAGATTTCATTTTGGCCATTGCCAAATTTTGGTCTTTTAACAATAAGCAGAATAGAACTTTCAGTCATATATTGCACCATAAATCAAGAAATTTCTTTAATCCCATGATATGTACAATGTTTGGTGACAAAGAGATTGAAAATGTTAGGTGTTTAAAATACAAATTACAGTTGAATCTTATCAACAGTAATTTGAAAAACACAACGTCATGGTATAAATCTATTATTCAATGGTCAGATAAATATGGGCTACATGAATTGATTTGTGCCCTCCATCTTCATATTATTTCAGTTTATGTCAATTGTTTATGATTTTCTCTTTGTCTACATGTAAGCCAACCCAGTGAATAACTCATGTACAGACATGTTGACCAGGCTTTGTTCGAGTAGACTGTTCAATGATTGGGGCCGCGTATTCCTCCTTTACTTATCAAAGTGACTCTGAAATCTGTGTTCCTTTGAGGGAACTGCCTCCCAGTCACAGTGAGTCACTGTTCAAATTCTTTCTTTATCTATCAGTGTTCATTTGAGGGACCTGTCAAACTAGTCACTGTTCACTGTTTGGGCCAACATTGTTTCTTTGTTCCTCAATGCTCTCTTATATTTGTAGGAGCCATTTATTTGAAGGAACTGTCATCCTAATCCAAATAATAGTTTCTATCCTGGTTTAGGAAAATGAGTAAAGATGCAGTAAGGGCTCCAACAAACTCAGCTAACAACATATACCGATCAATGACCACAGCAACTTTAGCCCAATCATTGCGACATTTTTCCAGATCTCTCTGTTCATTCTCTTTAGCTTGTCTGTCCTTGTTCATGTGATCAATCATCTTGTAAATGTCTTTTAATTCCTTTTTGAAAACACGTGTTGCTGTACTGTTTTCATTTGATTCAATGATTTCTATATCAAAATGGCGTCTCTCAGAGTCACGTTTGCCAGTATCATCCAAATTCCTTTCTTCAAGATTGAAATTGTTGTTTTTACAACGACAATGACGTGTATCATTCTCTATGATGAAATCATGATGGCTTTTGAATTTGATACCAACAAATCGTCCCATATACTGTATGACAATCTTCTGAACAACTTCTGGGACCTCTTTACCATGGATGCCTTTAAAATGTAAGGCAATGCTTCCTATGCTAAGGATAACGCTGCAGCACATGATGAATGTGATCGTCCCAAGGAACTGGCTTACAATGGGTATGACATCAGACTGTGAAGGAATGTCAGATGCAATGCTCAACTGAAGGACAATCATCGACAAGAGAAGCATTACAGAAAGCTGTGCCCGCTCTCCCGACTCAATAGGGAGCAGAAATCCAGACATACTAACGACCAACACCAGTGTACACGGAAGAATCAGATTGTAAATGTAAAACATTGATTTGCGCCTCAGTATTGCTGTAAATGTTGCATCAACATAAGGCTCGGGGCAACATCCATAATATATAACGTTTCTCTTGGCCGGGAAAGCTACAAAGTCCCACTCTCCATGCTCAAGAAAGTTGTATTTATCTCCAGTGGGGTTTTTCAGGTGTAAATCGAGTTGGAAACCATGGTAGCTCCATGACCCAATTTGGATTTCACATTGCTGGGTATCAAATGGGTAAAAAGTCATATCAATTTGGCATGATGTTTTAACTACACCAGGCACCAGCCAGATTGTGTATCCAGTATGATAGGATGTAATCAGCACATCGCTGTAAAGCTGTATCGATGACCTATGCTCATCTGCATTGTTATACAACATAATATCGGGAACCCAAATTTCAGATTTCATGAATCTGATTTCCGTGAGATTGCCATAATCCTGTGGCTCCCACTGGAGTCGAAAATCTGTCCAGTAGAATCTGAACCATACAACTGTTTGGAGGAACCGTTTAGGTTCATTCAGTTCTCGGATTTGATTTAAAGCAATATCAGTGGTTACATTGATCAAATCATGTTCGCTAGCAGCGGGTCGTGATGTCACAAGGTAATCTTTCAGTAAATGATCATGTAAAAGTATATCATAACCCTTCGAGTTCAGTGTATTTCCTGATGTAAAACACCAAATGTATAATTCAAAATAAACTAGCGACCAAATCCTCCACATCTTCATGTTAGTAACAATCACAACGTTTTTGCTGTACCTTCTGTCACTGTTGCTTCTACTGAATTGTGTTTCGCAATCAAGTTAACAAGGAATATGAGAGAAAAGTGTGATTGTCACACCAATATGATCTTTGTTTGTCCTGGTAAAGTAACAAATGATATAAAATGGATTATATTGCAAAATAATTGTCCATAAAATTCCTGTGATGTATAAATGTGCTCCTCAAATGTTCACTAGCATTTTGTATTCAAAGAACTGTTCCCTACCAACAACAAATAATATCATCTATGATATATATCATCGCATCCACTTTTTGATTTCAATTACCATTGTTTCTATCTGCTATATTTATCAGATAAAATATTCTTGTGTAAGTCCTGTGACTATTTATCACAATTGTCTATTGGCTGTATCTGTATTATGTCATAACTGTTGAAATAAAAAACGTCAGGATTACATTAATCCATGTATGCTACTATCAATCAGTATATTAAAAACATCCTATTTTTCATCCTATTTTATTCCTGCCAGTTGTTGTAAGCAGATTAATTTTAAGTCATCTATTACAAGCAATAAGCTCAGCAGAATCTGCAGTAGAAATGGTTATTGGGTCTATATACTCTCAATATCCAGCCAAACCCTTATATATTGAACGAATTAGAAGAGTGTCCAGTGCAATTAGGGGAGGCATCAAAAGATCGATGTTGAATCAAAAACTAATAAATCTAGTAAGGGGGAGGGGGTTTAAAGCCATTTAAGTTTTCTATCCAACAAATTTCAACATTTCAATTTTCGGCAATTTCGACTCAGAATGCCTTGGAATTTTACCTGATCTTTTCTTTGTCAAGATCATTCCAATAGATACTACTTAGTATTCTATCAATAGTTGTTAAAAGCTGCAAATTAACTAGGAATTGATGACAATTAGATCATTTTTAGAAATGATTTTTCAAATTCTCAAATGGGAAGTCCGCGATCAACTTTTGTGGTATATAATTTATTTGGGGAAAGGGGGGGGGGGGGGGTAAAACTCAGAACTAGATTTATTTAGTTTTTGATCTGACATCAAACTTTTGATGCCTCCCCTTAGAAAATAGAAATTCATCAATATTCATTTTAGGTAAATTTTCTGTATATGTACTCTAAAAGGTATGCTCCATAACACTTGAAGAGCAATAGTTATAAAACCATGAAAAGGTGTTCTCAACAGAGATGTATCAACAAGCAAGTAGAAATAATAGCTCTGTGGGTATTTGAGCAGAACTTGACGTACATATGGCATATGCATAAAAAACAACATTCGGCAAATGGTTTTTGAGTTATTGCCCAGAATACTTGTAATCTGTATGCACTTTGTGATAGTAACTTTCATCATTTCTCACTTCACAATTTATATATTTATTGTTATGAAATAATATTTTATCTATTATTGTTAAACCTGGATAACCAACACAACCCACATATTCAATTTAAAAAACTTATGAATTATTCTGAAAGATGAAACCAAAAAATTGATTAGCAATCAATAGAATGAATCTGCTTCTCTGGGGAGTAGGTGTTTTTTGACGAAAAAATGAAGCAATTCCATCAGCCAGTATTCAAGTTATTGACTGTGAACACAAACATACAGTATTGTATATTTTCCTAATAGCATCAAATAAATTCCTATTACATTGGTACCAAGAGGATAAAAAGTAAATATGTCACCTGACATGTGTCATCATCTAATTTTCTGATTAATTAATTAATTACATCCAATATCAGAATTAGGTTTCATGGTATACTAAATAAAGTGAGAAATTACTTTACACTGAATTATTTGTGTACATTATTCTATAATATCATAGATATAGTAGCCCGGACAGAATTGTTCAAGGGTCACTTTTTCTTTCTTGTAATTGGATTTTGATAATACTGAAAATAAAAAAGTTATTAAAGAAAATGTGACCCTTGAACAATTCTGTCTGGGCTACTATGTTGTAAGCAACAACATTTACAAGTGATCTACCAACTACTCCTAACATATCTCAATACCAATACCAATGATTCCATTGATTCATATTATCTTTAGAAAAAGTAATTTGAGATTCAAAGTGTTGAATATCTCATATATAGTATGGATTAAACATGATTTTCATAATATTTCAGACGGATGAATTTATCCAACAAGACGACGGCAATATAGCACTTTTTCAAAGTGCAATAAAAAGTGGCAAAGGATAGTATTACATATGAAGTGACATTATTAAAAGATATTAACTAGCAAAGACCTGTTAGTTAAGCCTCAATCACATTTGCTCTATGGCAGGCAAACGGCGACCGTAGCTTAACAAAATTAATATAGAAAATCGACATTGTACTGCTTATCCCTATATTTTATGCTGCATATTTCTCTCAATTTTGAGAAGCTACGACTGCCATATGGTTGCTGTAGATCAAATGTGACTTAGGCATTAATAAGCCTTATAATAAACAACAACTGCAAATCTATAGAAATCTCAATAAAATCACTGGTCAGTATCAAGTTATGTGAACGACCATACCATTCTTTTCAAAATGTGGACATTCTACACAATGAGTGCATGTTGATTGAGATATTTTCTGTTTGTATCAAACTGGAGAGGACATTTGGCTTTGAAATGTAAATACAAGTAGTTCATTTGCAAATAGAAACAAAAGCCAATACAGTGCAACATTGCCTTTCAAGAGACCTTCACAGGAGTACAAGGAACATAAAAATTCAGAAGTGCCACTCTAATACCAATTTCTTCCATTTTGGAATTAATTACATGAACAGATATTATCATACACAAACATCATCTGAATTCATCTACACAAAATAAACAGGAATAATCTGTATCAATGTTGTCAAAGACCATGAAATGTCAGATTTACTTTTCCCATATATGATAAAATGCATGTCTGATAAGCTAGTTGATTTTCATTCTCAGCCCAGTCAGACTAGAATAAATTAGTTTTTTTTGTTGAAAAACCCATGATCTCTTTCATCATTACATTCCAGTCTCTATGAACTTTATAATATGAAATCTAATGTTTTTATTGCATGCCCGTTTCCTATATGGGGTTGCGATACGAGTAGTACTTTTATATAAAATTATGCTTTGTCAGAAAAGAAAAAATCATTGCATCAAAAATAATGTTTTTCATATAATAAAAAAACTCATTATTCCATACATGTTGATCATACACGTAAGGGAGATAAAACATTATTTTGAGACCATATGGTGCTTTGAAGTGTCACTGATTATGTGATTTGCTCCTAATCTCTTACAAGAGGGGGAATACCCCATAATTCATAGTTGAACCTGCAAACCTCTTGGAGTTAGGGGTTTACATAGAGATGGGTCATTTATGAATTATGGGATATGTCCTCATCTTTTCAAAGACAGATCATGACAGCGCCAGACTGATGATGACTGACTATGGGATATTGAACATCTCAATCAATCAAGGTATTTCAATGGTTGAATGGTTTGATATTGTAAGACTCTGAGAGGATGCTTTCAAAGAATGAAGTGCAGTCTTCTAACTGGTTCCATTAATACAGCTTTTGTGAACCGTAAGGTTCAATGTACCCTGTGGGATTGACTCATAAAAAACTCAACAATGTCTTAAATCCTCAGTATTCTCCGTGTTCTATTAACATGTTTGATAGATCATATGTACCCAGTGGGATTGACTCAGAAAAAACTCAACAATGTCTTAAATCCTCAGTATTCTCCGTGTTCTGTTAACATGTTTGATAGATTATTCTTATGTAAAGGCTCCATAGGTGTGCAGACTGAGTGGGTCTTAGTGAATGAAAAGTTATATCATGAATTATATGTTATAACAAGGCATTAACATGTCAAAATGTCACCACCTAGTTGAAGCAAGATAAAAAGACCTTTTTGACCTTGAGGAGGTCATTAAAGGTAAAATCTATTTTGACCTTGAGAATGTCATTGAAGGTCAAATCTATAGTCAGATTTGAAATGTTGAGAACTTGTAGATGATTTTGAAAAATAAAATTGATCAATTTGAAACAAGTTGAAACAAGACACACAGTGATAAATATCGCACTTTGAAGAGCAAACTGGCCACCATGCAATTTACCCAGCATGGCCAAAACCTAATCAGACCTTGGCACTAGTCTGCTCTTGCATCTGTAAACATTTCAAGTTGACAAGGTTAGCGGTTTTCCTGCAATTTTGATGACAAGAATTTATTTGTAGTCTGGAACTTTGGGAAAATTTAGATAACATCGTTTGTGACCTAATTTGATACCCTTCGACCTTGAAAATTTAATTTTTTCAGACCTCAGTAGGTGTTTTGTAATTAAGCTGACCTAAATTTAAATCCAAAATATCAATTTAGAAAATCAACTTTTTTGACATTTTCAAGGTCACTGAAGGTGAATGAAAGGTCAAATCTGAAATCTAAGGTCAGATTTGAACTTCTGAGAACTTGTAGATGTTTTTAAAAAAAAAATTTGGTCAATTTGGAGCAAGTTGAAAAATTCAAAATGGCCGCCAAATTGAAAAATTCAAAATGGCCACCATGTAATTCAGCCAGCATACCCAAAACCTAATCAGATCTTGGCAATAGTCTGCTCTTGCATCTGTAAAAATTTCAAGTTGAACGGATAAGTGGTTTTCCTGGAATTTTGATGACAAGATTTGTTGAAAAATTCAAAATGGCCGCCACGTAGTTTACCCAGCATGCCCTTAACCTAATCAGATCTTGGTACTAGTCTGCTCTTGCATGTGTAAAAATTTCAAGTTGAACAGGTAAGCAGTTATCCTGGAAATTTGATGACAAGATTTGGTTTATGTCCCGCCCGCCCGCCCGCCCGCACGCCCGCCCGCCCGCACGCCCGCCCGCCCAACAGCACAAGACGACGGCAATATAGCACTTTTTCAAAGTGCGATAAAAAGACCTTTTTGACATTTTTTGACCTTGAAAAGGTCATTGAAGGTCAGATCTAATATAAAGTCAGATTTGAACTTCTGAAAACATGTAGATGATTTTGAAAACAGTTGAAGTCAGTCTATACAGTATTTGTTAAATTATTGGAAGTTGTAAGAATTTGTTACAGACGCCAACTGCTGATCGCCTACCACCAATGCCATAAAAAAACGGAGACCATAACAATATCACTTTTTGGTGGCGACATAAAAACCACATTCATAGTTTAACATTTTTTCAATCTTGTTTATATGTTCTTCGTAACTGATATATTATGAACCCTCAACAGGATTTTTTGGATCAAAAGAAAAATAAGTGATTTTTATCACTAACGATACAGCAATAAAATGTTAAATGTTATACTAAGGTCTTTCATAAAGAGGAATACATCTTAGTGGAGAACATCTTTTATCCGAACTGATATGACGTGATATCCTATCATATCCAACTGATACTATTCTTTCATTGGTTGTTAATTTAGGGCCCAAAATGGTTTGACAAATGACAGACTTGCCTGATCGAACTATAACTGATTGAATAAAGTTCCAAGCATTGTGTGCTTGTTAAAATGATTCAAATGTTTTTCATGCGATCACTTTGTATAAAACCAAACATGTTGATGTAACATTTCTTGATGAGTTTCTGACATTTCAATATCAAGGTGAAAAATATATATCTTCAATCTGGGAAGATGAACAATATCCACTCAAGGATAAAAATGATATCCCTCAAAATTCATAGAATATCCTCTATTTATTCCATAATAACATGTTTTCCCTGGGAAATAAATGAGGAATAATCATTGGGTGGTAACATACAAAACTTCAAAATAAAGTAAATAACAGCCATGCCAAAGTGAAGCAAATCTCATCGAACAGCCATGGCTGCCATTTTTATAAAATCCTTCTACCACTTTTTCAGTTACAGTAAAAATTGTAAAATAACACCCATAAAAATGGCTACAATTTTCAAAATGGTTGCTCACTAACCAAATTGTCAGGAGAAATTGTTATATGCTTCTAAGAAGGCACATATAAAATTTCAACAAAACCACACACAGGCATGTAAATGGTGGCAATTTCCTAAAATGGTTACCAACTAGCCAAAGTTTTATAAGACAGTGTGTCATGCTTATGAGTATTCACATATCAAATATGAACAAAATCTTTCTATTCCTTTTTGAGTTACAGTAAAATACTTAAAATAACACTTGAAAAAATGGTGGCCATTTTCAAATGGGGCCATCTACAAGCCAAAGTTTCATAAAATGGTGTGCCATGTGTTATTTTTCTTGGCCAATATCATATTTTTCCTCAGAATAAAATTCTTATTCCATCCCTCCAAATAATAATAACCTCTATCTTAAGGATGTCATATTCTTGTGCAGGGAAATATGTGTGTATTTTTATTTATCACAAATGTCACCTCCTGCCATTTTTTACAGATGCCGAACATCAACTGCCAAACACAAACTGCAGAACACCAATGACCAAGAAAAAAGTGGAGACTATAACAATATGTCACCATGTGTGGTGTGGAGACTATAACAATATGTCACCATGTGTGGTGTGGAGACTATAATAATATGTCACCATGTGTGGTGTGGAGACTATAACAATATGTCACCATGTGTGGTGTGGAGACTAGTGGTGTCAATTAACCGCTTGAGCATTAACCGGTTAACCGGGGGTTTTTACCGGTTAAAGTCGGTTAACCGGCGGGAAATTTGAACTGATAATTTCAAATGAAATCTTCATTTTCGATCTTGAAAGTTAAAACAAATTGTAAAAAATGATATATCGGCGTTTATTTTTTACGTTCGTCAAGCTTTACTCTTTTCTATGTAAGTAAGCGCGGGAAAGCAATGTGGCAGGGATTAAAGTTGCTGATTGGATGTTTGTAAGGAATTATCGGACCTATCACATGTATGAGTAGCTCACATGAAACTGACGCTTGAAAAACAAACAGATTAAAATGCAAAGTAAGCGCGGGAAAGCAATATGGCAGGGATTAAAGTTGCTGATTGGATGTTTGTAAGGAGTTATAGGACTTATGACATGTATGAGTAGCTTACGTGAAACTGACACCATAAAACCAAACGGATAAGCATGCAAAATAAGCGCGGGAAATCACAGAATTATACACGGTCAACTAACTGCCCATAAAAACACAGACCGGTCAAGGCATTATCGGCGGTTAACCGGTTAACCGGTTAATACTTGACACCTCTAGTGGAGACTATAACAATATGTCACCATGTGTGGTGTGGAGACTATAACAATATGTCACCATGTGTGGTGTGGAGACTATAACAATATGTCACCATGTGTGGTGTGGAGACTATAACAATATATCACCATGTGTGGTGATGACATAAAAACATCTCAGTCATCTATTGCATCAGGCCCACTATTGTAAGTATAATACAAGTATAAAGGACCCATGGCCTAAAATGAAGACCTACACACAACCTGTGTTGCAGTTGACCCAACAACAATGGGTTTGGAACTGTACATACCTTGCATCCAGTGCTTGATCTATGGATAGTATAATATAAAGGACTCCTGGCCTATAATGAAAACCTACACCCAACATGTGTTTCAATTGACCCTACAACAATGAAGGTGGACTGTGGAACTGTACATACCTTGCATCCAGTGCTTGATCTATGGATAGTATAATATAAAGGACTCATGGCCAATAATGAAAACCTATGCCCAACATGTGTTTCAATTGACCCTACAACAATGAAGGTGGACTGTGGAACTGTACATACCTTGCATCCAGTGCTTGATCTATGGATAGTATAACATAAAGGACTCATGGCCAATAATGAAAACCTACACACAACCTGTGTTGCAGTTTACCCAACAACAATGGCTTTGGATCTGTACATACCTTGCATTCAGTGCTTGGTCTATGGATAGTATAATATAAAGGACTCGTGGCCTATAATGAAAACCTATGCCCAACATGTGTTTCAATTGACCCTACAACAATGAAGGTGGACTGTGGAACTGTACATACCTTGCATCCAGTGCTTGGTCTATGGATAGTATAATATAAAGGACTCGTGGTCTATAATGAAAACCTATACCCAACATGTGTTTCAATTGACCATACCACAATGGGCGTGGACTGTACATACCTTGCATCCAGTGCTTGATCTATGGATAGTATAATATAAAGGACTCATGGCCAATAATGAAAACCTACACACAACATGTGTTTCAATTGACCCTACAACAATGAAGGTGGACTGTGGAACTGTACATACCTTGCATCCAGTGCTTGGTCTATGGATAGTGGAGTGAGCATTCTTTCTTGTCGCGCCTCCTGTGTAAAAAGAAAAAAGAAAATTTTAAAAAGAATATTGTTACTGAGTAGTTCTATCCAATGATGACATCTATTGTAATATAAATGCTATAAATCAATCTAACATGGAAAAGATATTCGAGTATATCGATGACTACTCAAGAGTCATTCAAAATCATCAAGAATAATATTCTCAAAGCTGAATTTAAATGTCTACAACAAAGGCCAACTTATAAATTATGAAAATTTTCATTATCAAATTGCAAGCCCACCCTTTTCATACTGTAGGCCTCTGTAATTCTTACTTTTGATGATTTCAATACTGAATAGAAAGGTTTGTTTATCAATAAGCAATGTAATATAATTGTTACATAGCTAATCACAGACAAACAAACACACAAACAAACAAAGAAACAAGTAAATATGAAGTAAATCAAATAAAGAAAAAAACTTTATTGTTAAACAAATCAAAAGAGTCATAGATCTACAAAGTTAGCCGCAAAAACCGTGAACTGACATACCGTTACTTTCATGGTGACAGCTTCCGCCAAACCTTGTTCATCTAGCTGTAACAAATGTGAAACCCATTGCAGCTCAGTCAAGCTGCCAATTTCAACAGTATCGTGATTGTTGACTTGTGCCCGCTTAAAATAAACATTCCCAAGATGCAACACTGATGCGAGGATCTTGAATATCGTATCTTGTTCATCCAATGAGAAGTTGAGGACCTCCAGTGCAGCGATAACACGTTGGAAGTCATTTTTGTCGCTTTTGCTTCCGATTGTGCAATTGCCGCCCTGAATGAAACAGATCATTAAAAATTAGACTAAAATGAAGAAATAGAATGTTAAGCACGTTTTTATTTATCTATAACTACACTCATCTTCGACAACACACCTTGTGCATTAATCTAAGTTCTTTTAAGCAAAAAAGGGAAATGCAGGCCTAAGGCTTGGACACAAACCTTCTTTTAAAAAATATAAGGGTTAGCCTATTTCAAATCAATACTGAAATAAATTGAAGGCAGAAATAAACTGATATGTGTGCTTGAAGGTATTGCATTACACTCATATTTCAAGTGTATCTAATTTTTGTGTTTTTTGCGAGGTGTACGGTAATCATGAAAATAAAATGCATACAAAATTATTGTTGCACCTGTTGTAAGTAAAAATATTTATCGGCAGATAGTAATCCGTATTTCTCTCGGTCAGATTTGTTCAAGCCAGCTAACATCTCGTAGAAAACGTGGTAATTTCTCTCATCATTGGCCTGCGTCACAATACGAGACTTTTCCAGTAAGTATTCTGATGTTCTGGCTCCTGATATTCTTCCACTGAAAGAAAATGATTGTATGGTTAAAGGCTCTTCCTTAACTCCTCTGTCATACCCTTAGGAAAAATGTTATGGGTATTACCCATTGTGTTATCCATAATAATGGTAATTCATTAGGTCATTTATGGTTTATATATCCATAACCCATAATTTTACCCATAGTGTTACCCATAACTAATAGTTAAGGTTAAAACCTACATGATATAAAAATGATATACTCATAATTTAACATAAGGAGATGTTATGGGCTAAGCATGGTTAGTAAAAATGTGTTAATTAAGTGTAACCCATAAAGTATGGGTAATTTACATTTTCAGCTTTGTTTATATTTTTCTGAAGGGAGACACTATTCTTAAAAGAATGCTATACAATATGACAAACCTTTTCATATCATTTATGCTAAATCTTAAAATTGGATCCCAATAATCTTTCTTTATGTATTATTCCATTAAAACAATCTGTATGTGTATGAAGAATATTGAAAATTCATGTCTTTCTTATACATTAGAATCTTTACTTTTTTAAATTGAGGGCTTAATTTTAGCAGTGTTTGCAAAAATTCGTCTTATAATAATTAAGAAATATTTATTTGGCTTTATCCACCCTGGCTATGTCCCTGATTGGTAAAATATGTGTACATTATGTACAGGTAATGTGCATGTTATGTGAAGATAATGGGGGTGTAATGGGACCATTATGTATTGGGAATGTGCAAGTTATGGGCAAAGCATGTGTCCCCATTACCTACACATTACTTGCACATTACCAATGCATAATGGTCACATTATCTAAACATAACTTGCACATAAGCAATACATGATGTACACATATTTTCCCCGTCAGAGCCATAGCAAGGCCAGGGTTTAGTTCAAATGGAACCTCCTCTGGTCAAAATATTTAAAAAAGATGCAGTTTATCAAAGAACTTGATTCCTTTTTAAGGCCTTCATGCAAATTTAGAAGTATGTTTTTATTTCTCATTTTGTACTTTTCGTGACTTAAAAAGTTAATTTAGGTATTTTTGAAAAACAATTATAACAAAAGGTAGGAAGATTCATATCAAAAGACTTAAGATATTTTTCTATTTATCTATTGGGCATCCTTAATGTGATATACACTTAACCATGATATTTTGTATTATGGGTGATTACTGATTTTGTATATGTAATGGATAATTCTGGCATAACTTAAAACCATTATTTACCCATTACATGACATAAATCCTTACCAAAAGAAATTAGGATGGATACAGGATCAATTGCCCTTGAGTTAAGGGTATTTTGGGCTATGGGTAACATTATGGGTACAATATGGGTAGTTATGTGAAGCCTATGGGTTACCCATAACATTTTTCCTAAGGGTAGTATCATGCGTTAAAGGCTCCGCAATGACATATTCCAAATTAACATTTTTGAAAGAGATGCATATCCTTTGGGACAATATCAAATTCAGTTTGTTAATCTGCTTTATATAATGTTTTCTTCCATTCATTACATTTTGGGAATCATACAAATATCAATGTACTTCATTGATTAAATAAGGAAAATAAATTACAATTTAAATTGAGGAAGATCATTTTTGGTAATATTTTTGTAAAGGAAGACACAGGCTAATGTGGACAAAAGTTTATCATCTGACATGTCAAATATTTTCCTACTCACTTGTGAAAATAAACTTCCACATATTTGCCAAATCTACTGGAGTTGTCATTTCGTATGGTTTTCGCATTGCCGAATGATTCCAAAAGAGGTGTGGCCTCAAGGATCTGTTCTGTCACTTGATTGGTCTGTCCAGTGTTGACAGCTGCGAGATACTGCATCAAAAGTTTAAAACTTTCCGTCTTCCCTGCTCCCGATTCCCCACTGGCAAATATGAAAAAATTTTTTTTAAAGAATTTCATCTCAGATATAGAGGCCATTTCATTAATAGGTTTGATATTCATATGAATGGTAAATCAATGGCAGTCTTCTCTTCATTCCATTCCCAGTGGTTTTTGTGTCAATAGTGTTCCGCCGAATAAATTTTTGAAAAAATATCAACCTTTTATTCATATCTATGTTCTTATATATTACAGTATACATGAGCATAACCAGGCGAGGCAAGTGCCCCACCAAAAGTTTTCAGAAAACTTATAATTTAGAGATTTTTTTTCATTGAAACCGTGAGAATGATGCCTAATGGTAGAATCATATTGCATTTGGTGCCTCACCTACATTTACATTTGCCTCACCTATTTAAATTTGCCTCACCTATTTACATTTGCCTCACCTATTTACATTTGCCTCACCTACATTTACATTTGCCTCACCTATTTACATTTGCCTCTCCTATGTACATTTGCCTCACCTATTTACATTTGCCTCACCTATTTACATTTGCCTCACCTATTTACATTTGCCTCACCTATGTCGAGATCTTGGCTATTGGATATCATCAATGTGATCTTATCTTATATTAATGATATACTTTATGTAAAAAAGCTGCCAGCATCTTATGCCAATGCTCCAATTCTGGAGGAATTAAGGAGGGTGGAGGGAGGGAGTCTAAAATGTTTAAGTATTTGTGGGATAACTCATTTTATTTCAGGTTCATGTGTAAGTATTATAAGGAAAGAAAGACTGGCCTCCTTAGTAGTAACGAGGTGTTATACACCTCAACTAATGTTTTGACCCTCTATATTTATTTATTTATTTTTATTTAGACATATGCTTTTAAAACAGCAGCACTCTAACATCTATGATATTAGGTGCGTCTACATCAATAGCCAACATTTAACAGGAAATTTAACACTTAAGAAAGAGCAAAACATTGATATTTTGAAGTTGAGTGCAGTGTTTATCATGAACTGTGTTGAGGGACCCCAGGCAGTCTAGCGACCTTTTATGCTTAATAGTATCATTACTATCAGATCATTTGCAGACCTAGTTTTGTGAATCATCATCCTAAAAGTGGCTTATAATGTACATTAAAAAGCCGCTAATGTATTTGTATTTATTGTAATAATTTGAAATAAAGAAATACAATATAAAAAAAAACAAAAAAAAACAGGAAATTACTAATAAAAACAACCATACAGTTCTTGGTTTAAAAATTTTGACTAAAAACTGCTTGACGATTTTGTCAAGACTAAAATTTGTATCATGCCCCCATTCCACATGGTCATTATCTTTTGATCATTACTCTATATATCCTATACTACATAATGTTTTGGAGGCCATATATTTATTTCATAGACCTACACAGATTGACTACCATACCTGATGACAATGACTTGGTCTTCGTTGTCCTTCAATATGGCACTATAAGCAGCACTGGCAATGGCAAACAGATGACTAAAATGAAATTATAACAATATTAAGTCAGTCATCACAATAATAAAACAAAATACATGTATAATCATCACAATGTGAACTTTGCATTTTTCACGATATGAAAAACCGACATCAGACTTAATTAGTATATATACGGTATATATAATACATGTACACATATTATTCTCGCCTACTTTGATGTGTTGTTAAAAATATCCAACAAGAGTTTGCTCATTAAACTTTGCATACTTTAACTTGAAACAATTTCTGACATTCAACACTGGCGGATCCAGAAGCTAACAAGGGGAGGGCCCATATTTAATGCAATAAGTTAATGCAAAAAAATGTGGGGCCCTAAAACCAAAAGTTGGGCCAAAATTTTGAAAATTTAAGGTCTATTTTTTGATACTTTGGCCTTTCCAAAGTTATGCCCAAAAAGGCCCATTCTTTGAGGCCCTCCAAATTTTTGGGGGTCTTTAAAAATTTTCTGGACCCACCCAAGGAAGCCCCCCCCCCTGGATCAGCCAGTGATCACAACAATTACTACAGTCCTCATAATAATATAATATAATATAACATTGTGTATGTACACTAGGCTATATGAGTATGTTTGACATTTAGAAACAACAAAAAGGTGAAACCATGTCAAAGAGTTTTGAAATACAAAACTGAAACGAAAGACATACCACTTTAAATTGAAGGACCTACTCAACAAGCCAGAGTCTCCTTTCAAAAGGGTGAGCCTTTTATACAATAAAACTAAGTGACTCATAAAATCAAGCACCTTTTCTAAAAAAGAATAGCTCATTTTGAAGGGCCATTTGAATATATTACTTACGGAGGTAGGGCTCCTATAACTTGACCCTCATAGCGCTTTACCATGTCTAAGTTGTAGATGTCAAAATATTTGTACGGGTTTACTGCCACAAGAATACTGCCTGTGTATGTCTACAAATGCACCAGAAATTATATACGTAAGACAAAGAAAAACTTGTTTATTCGTCACCAGACTTTTAAATTTAAGACACACCAACTGGGCCTTCTTCAAAAATGTTTGCAATTTTTTGTCTTCATTTTCAATTTCTCACCCGGAGCAATCAGAATCAGATTTCGGTATAAAGATATGATGAATTTCAAATGGAATTAAGGCGGACTTCTTTCAAAATGTGCCAAACATGTGACAGTAAAGAAACATTTCATTTACTTAAGAATAAAAAAACATACAATGAAGTAATATGAAAGGGCAATAATGAAATTATGAATTAAATTAAATCAAAATATTATAATCACGTTCTAATTCAATTTATTTGAGACACATCGAGAGCATAGAGTTGTCATAAATCAAATGTCACGATGACATTCAAAAATCATAATTTTCAAGAATGACATGACATCTAATTTGAATTAATCTGTTATATTGACCTAAATGATAACCCCACCATGCTACTATTGTTAAAAAACATATGACTTTACCAAATCATATTTGAACACACACCCAGATGTGGATATCAGAATAAAAAACTCTGAAATAATATTACCTTTCATAGAGTTCAATACCAAGGACTTTAAATCATTTTTAACCTATAGCCTCCCTAAATGTAGCATTTTTACTCTCAATCTGAATACTTTTGGATTTTTAAACTGCCACCGGCTGGCATACATAAAACCCAAGGAGGATTGGCTCTCAGGATCGAAACTCGATATTTTCAAACAATGAAAACATTGAAATGTCATTATTTTCTGGAATTACAACCGACTATAAATCCAAAAGATTTGAACCAATATCTTGTTCATTTCTTGTGAGTTTTGAATAAATATGGGACAGAATATCTCTGGGAGCCAATCCCCCTTGCATAAAACCCTAAAAATGTGAACACCCGCTGATCTGAACACTTTTGGTTGGTCCCCGTGGTGTTCGGATTAGACAGGTTTCACTGCAATCAGTTTTCCAGTAATTGTTATCAAACAGGTGTTATAGAAGATGTATAGAACTGAGCCATTACACACAGAATGTAATGACTTAATTGCCACTGTTAATTAATGACTTTTAATCCTAAATTGCTTCCTAGAAGTCAGTGCATGTATATTCACTGTAATTTATCAATCAAAGTTAGGCCAGGCTGTGTCTATAATATATATAAATGTCTATATAATGTACTGCAACATGCAAGAAAATTCTCATACTGACATGCATTTTGTATCTTTATACATTTGATTCACACTTCCATATTTAACAATTGCATGATATTCAGTACTCATACAATCATCAAATATTTGGTACTAGCTTTATAGAATATTTGGTACTCACAAGCATGTTATGTACTCACATTTTTCCACAAATTTGTTACTCACATGGAATATTTGATACATGTACTATTATTATTATCTCACACAAATCATAACACAAAATATATACCAAAATATATATATAAAGGTACTCACATATATTTTTAGCTTTGTATATCTTGTTCGTAAGTTTTCTTGGAGGGACGATTCAGTCAAATCACTGGAAACAAAATAAATCTGTTGATTTCACTTTAAATTTGAATTTCATTAAAAATGCAATATACTTTTCAATTTCAATGAAAGATGACAAAATGAAAATTAACAATTTACAGTAAATCAGTTAACACCTCCATAAGTGGAACACTTTTTAAAGTTCAGCTATCCGTTTGAGCCTGGCCATAGGAAAACTGGTCTTATCACATTAAAATTGTGCTAAAGAGCCAAAAATGTGCCCACGATTAAGAAGAAAATGTGCTGAATTCAAATCCGACTTTTTGGTCTCTATACGCATGTAAAAATTGTTGAGACATAGAAAATAAACCTCTACAAGTGAAACACATCCATAACAGTTATGAGAAACCAAATGTGTTCCACTAAGACTTTTATCAATTTTAGCCAATTCTTCAGAACATGTAAAATTATGAGTTTTTTCCAAGTAAAGAAATCCTCATGAAAACATTGCAGGATAAGGCAATTAATCAATAAAAAAATAAGTTTACTTACATCATATTTATCATGTCCTCAACTCCATCCTCCCCGATCTCCTCCCTCGGGCGAAGTAGACTCGTCATCTCTATGGCAACTGAAAATAACAGACAAGATTATTGGTTGATACATGGGTAAGGAACACAACAACTTTGACATCTACTATTATACAAGTAAATAAATGATAATAAAACTTGTTTGTGACTTTTTATTGAATCAACAATTAGCACAGCAAACAAGACATTTATATGACAAAATGTCACTACATGTGATTGTCATAAATTCAATTGTTAGGTAAGGCATCAACATGCACAATGTCACTACCTGCCATTTGTTACATACAACAAAACTGAACACCAACTGCCGAACAATGACAGCTGAACATCAACTACAAAACACCATTCACTATAACAATAACTATAACAATATGTCACCACAAGGTTACTATAGCAATGTCACCACTTCTTGGTGATGACACCACCAAAACTGAATTTTTCAAAATGACAGAACATTTTGTTAAGATGACAGCTATATAAAGTGAGTCCCAACAAGTTCAAATAAAAGAATAATGACAAAGATAATACAAAATGAACAGTCACAATTGTTATCCTTTAAGTATTTCATTATGGTGTTCAAAAAAAAAACGCAACCCAAAGAAATCGCTATATCTTGGAAAATACTCATCCAATTATATTCATATTTTCAGGAAAGAAAGAAGAGACTGTGTGTGTGTATAGCCCATGTTGTTAATTAGTTGTATAACATGATGTCTTGGACACTTGCTCAAAAGACTGTTCTAGCAAAATTTGAAAAACATGAATGGAAAATCACTATATCTTGGAAAATACTAATTCAATTATGTTCATTTTTTCAGGAAAAGAAAGAAGAGACTGTGTAAGTATAGCTCCTGTTGTCAGTAAGTTGTAAAACATGATGCCTTAGACTTAGAGGTTGCAGTCACCCCTGACTGCGTTTTTCGTATTTTCCTAGTACAACTGTCTTTTGAGCAGGTGTCCAAGGCATCATGTTTTACAACTAACCATTTACATTTACATTTGCATTTTTTTGAACAACCTGTTCACCTTTCAATTTACCCAATACACTGATAAATAACAAAATAACAATATTCTGTAGATAATGTTTGTGAGTTTAATCAAATAGGAATCACGAGATTAATTATCATGAAGTAAAAGAGGTTCAGAATGGTACATATAATAGAGTTTAGTACACAATACAGATCATCCATCCCAAAAGTGGTTGAAATCTCAAGTTACTAAGTAAGTTTGAAGTGAGAGAGAGAGTGGCAACTAGCTATCACATATTTTAGAAAACTACGCTCTTCAGGCGATATACCTATTGGTTCAAATATACCTCTAAATTCACACTTATATCACATCATTTTCACCAAAAATTTGTTAAAATCCATAGCTTTTAAGTTAAGAGTACGCACCATATACCTATCCAGGTGTTCAAAAGCTAGTTCACCTTAATCTTTTCTACACTACATTTGCCATGACAACCAACACATTTTGCTTCTAGGTAACCACTTCACATCTCATTATAACCTTGTTTATTTCTAATTTGTTGATTAACTGATCTCAACTCATAAGAGTGAATATAATTGTCCAAATGTTGGACTTATATGGAGCTTTGTAAAATTCCAAAAGTAGTCAATGTCGTGAATAATTACAATTCTCACTCTCACTCATTTGCTGTTTATTTATGATTGTGATTGTATAAATCGACGTACATCTACAAATAAGTACATGTGCTCAGAGAAGGTTCTAGCATTATAACTAAAATTCAACTGTTGAGCTTCACCAATAGCAAGTACTTCCATTTTAAAAACTGGAGGACCAGTGCCCTTGTGTATTGTGTTATTATATGCATTCAAATATTTCACTCACCTCAATCTTTTTGACCAAACTTGACTACAGTTAACAGAATGCTATCTTCTTGACTATACTTACAAAATGCTTGACTATGCTTACAAAATACTTGACTATGCTTACAAAATGCTATATTCTTGACTATGCTTACAAAATGCTATCTTCTTGACTAAACTTACAAAATGCTATCTTCTTCACTATGCTTACGAAATGCTTGACTATGCTTACAAAATGCAATCTTCTTGACTATGCTTACGAAATGCTTGACTATGCTTACACAATGCTATCTTCTTGACTATGCTTACAAAATGCAATCTTCTTGACTATGCTTACGAAACGCTTGACTGTGCTTGCAAAATGTAATCTTCTTGACTATGCTTACAAAATGGAATCTTCTTGACTATGCTTACAAAATGCTATCTTCTTCACTATGCTTACAAAATGCTTGACTATGCTTACAAAATGCAATCTTCTTGACTATGCTTACGAAATGCTTGACTATGCTTACACAATGCTATCTTCTTGACTATGCTTACAAAATGCAATCTTCTTGACTATGCTTACAAAATGCTTGACTATACTTGCAAAATGCAATCTTCTTGACTATGCTGACAAAATGCAATCTTCTTCACTATGCTTACAAAATGTTATATTCTGGACTAAACTTAAAAAATGCTATCTTCTTCACTATGCTTACAAAATGTTATATTCTTGACTAAACTTACAAAATGCTATTTTCTTCACTATGCTTACAAAATGTTATATTCTTGACTATACTTGGATTACACTGTTGACAATACTTATTTACAAATATGACCTGAATTGACTGAGGAATGTCATATTTTCAAAGTATGCACTTCTGCGCTTAAGTACAAATGTTGTATTATTGACAAGTTCACTCCTTTCATTGTTTTGACAGGAGCTTTTAAAATAACAAATGTTGTATCATTGTCTTGACAGGAGGGAAAGAAATTAACATATTTGAAATACCTGCACTTCTTGACTATTCTTATTTTCAAATATGACCTGAATTAACTGAAGAATGTCATCTTTTCTTTTTAGTCCACCCGATATGGCTCAGTGGCAGAGTCAAGGTAATCAATATCGCTTGGCCCCGGGTTCGATTCCCGGTTCAGACAAGTTTGTTTGTATGTTACATAATTCTGGGTGTTTGACTGAGTGGTTCACAACTCATATAAAAGGCTGTGGTGTGTACCTGTATGTCTGTGTACCTGTGCACACAAAATAACACAGGCCTCCTCCAAGGAGGGGTTTCTGGCTCTGTTTTCGAGTGTAAAAATACATAAAATACGGAATATACCAATGAGGTATTGCTCGCCAAATATGGCGGTAACCAAGATATAATAATAATAATTCAAAGTATGAACTTCTGAGTATAAGTGTGCATTTAACTCAAATGACGACGGCTGTACCATTTCTTAAGTTCATTCCTTTCATTGTCTTTACGGGAGAAAAAATTGCTGTCCTTAAAATATCTGAAATACCTGCACTTTTACTGATTTCCTAACTAAACATCAATCTTATGGTGGAACAAGGCATCAACATGACAAAATGTCACCACATTGTAAACTGTAACAGACACAGAATGCCAACCACCAAGCCCAGTCACAAAAATGTTGGGAGACCGTAACAATATGTCACTACTTTTGGTGGTAACATAAAAAGTAACAAACATACTTACATATTTGACAGAGGAGATTTTGATATGCTTGAAACTTGAGACAGCTGTATTACAGCTTATAAGTGCAATGAAAGTATGTCTATGATATAATGTATTAAATTTACTTATTATGGAAAACTTCCTGTACATGAATACTTACTTTTCATATTTGGAAGCATTTCTTGGTGTACAATGAATCAAAAAGAGGGACTTGGAGCATTCTTTGGCTGTCAAAACAACATTCCAATTGATCTGTTAATGCTTTCATTTCATATCAAGCTATACACATAATTTATAGTTTCAAACTTTGCAAAAGCTCTCTTCTGTGCAATACGTAGATGTAAATGTGTTTTTAACTTTTTGTACTTTTGCATGACCACTATTTTTCATTTTCGTGGGTTAACCTTATTGTGTGAATTTCGAATTGTGAATATATATAAGTAAGATAATTGAACTGAATTGAAAGCAAAAGCTACAATTCAAAATCAAAATGTCAAATGTGCACACAAAAAAATACTTTCATTTTAGGCTTTTTACATAAGCGAATCTAAATTATTCTAAATTGCAGTGTTTGGCATCCCTGTTGACAAATTGATTGTTACAGTAGAAATTGATAACAAAATAAGTCAATTCTCCCTCCTTGAAATATAATAACTCTGACAATACATACACAGCAAAACCTGGAAAGGTGGAAACTTCTGTTAGTGGAACACATCCGTTTAAGTGGAACACTTTTCAGAGTCCCATGAACAATTACCTGACAATGTTAAACCTCTGTAAGTGGAACACCTCCTCAGTGAAACAACTTTTAGAGGGACCAAAAATGTTCCACTAAAGCCTCAGTCACATTTGCTCTAGGGCAGCCATATGGCAGCTGTAGCCTCAAAAAATCAATATAGAAAATCTACATTGTAATGCTTATTTCTATATTTTATGCTGAATATTGCTCTCGATTTTGGAAACCTACGACCATGATACAGTTGCCATAGATCAAATATGACTGAGTCATTACACAGTTTTACTGTACATACAAATCACTGATACATTGACTCTTCAGGGTCATTTGGCTAAATGACAAATCAATGTGAAATAAACCTCTGTAAGTGCAACACCTGAGTGAATTTTAAAGGTGTACCAAAAGTGTTTCACATACACATGTTTTACTGTACATACAAATTGGTACAATGACAAAGTATCTACAGCGATTTACATGTTCTTTATTTCATACTTAAAGGAAAATATACTTACATCTCTTTAACTGTTTACGTGTGGTTCTTTAAGTTTTGTGTGCAAATCACATCTTAGTTTCATCTTAATAATAATCCATTGTGATGTATAATCCTATGATATCTACCTCATTTTGCGTCTTTTCATTCTGAAACACAGAAAATATAATTTTACATATAATGATCGTGATTGTGGTCAAATTGATTAAATCGAAGATGTACAGGAGTATTCAAAATGCATTATGGGATGCTTGTAAGTTAACCTCATTGCTGCTTCGAATAAAAAAAAACTCTCGAATAAAATATAAATCTCTTATCATGGTTTCTATGTACTCTGATTATATTCATACTCTACTTTGAAGTCACATTAACTGCATGGTATCTGTCGAGAGGTTTGGAGTATTCCAACTGCGTTAAAATGATAACGACACAAAAAAGTCAATTTATGAGATATTCTTGGTAGGCTGGTTATCATGATGGTTATTTGAAGAAAATAAAATTCATGTTATAACTATGATGAAATCAACACTTTTGGAATCGACATTCTGACATTGTCTTAAAAAAACAATAAAATAGTCATAAATCACTGAAAATAAATAAAATAAGTGCAATTAAAGTTTTTAAAGTCACTTTTCACAAGGGTGAGTATGGATGGGGATGGGGGATGGGGGATGGGTTGGTGAGTAATTCTTGAATAGGAGAGAGATGGCACAATAATCATTTTACTTCCCTCCTTGCCATCCTCCCTACCGTGTTAAATAAAATGAAAAAAATGATTATGCAATGAAAAAATAATGGCAATGAAGGGGAGGGAGACAAAGTCACTTGAGAAATTGTGACAGAAACAGTTTAGTACAAGGTTGTATTTTACCATGTTCTGCCTACAAAGTGCATCGAAAGGGTGGTAAACTATGTACATTCATATCGATCAATAAACTAAATGAATAATATTATAGCAGTAAAGTAAAACCTGTCTAATCTGAACACCATTTGGACTGGTGTTCAGAAGTGTTCACATTGGTAGGTGTTCACATTTCAAGGGTTTTTAACATAGAAGTCAATGGAAGATTGAAAATGGGACCACAAAAAGTGTTCGCATTGAGAGGTGTTCAAATTAGAGAGATGTGTGGATATACAAGTTGTACTGCATACCAGCTTATAAAGTATATGATAAAGTACAAACTTGACTTGTCAATGACTCACTTATCCACAAGCAATTTGCTTTAAAATCACATAATGTATTTTCTACTTGATAATGTTTGCAATTTTCTACGTTGATAATTTATGCATTTTCTTCTTGTGAATGACAACACTACACGAAATTATAAATCAACAAATGATATCAATAATACGCAATGATCAATTTTACTAATTTATTTCATTTTTTCAAAAATAGATCCAATGGCTGAGGTAGTGATAATTATATTGACTATGTCCTATATTTTAAGTGGATTGACATTAATGTAGTGATGTATTTAGTTTAACAAACATAAAGCTAATTGTCTTTTGGCCCAAAGGTATATCAGATAGGACGAGGTACACTGCAATTTTTTTGAGAAAGAGTCGAAGGCATGCTAGGCGAACCCTGGAAACACGGATTCGTTAGACCAGGGTTCACTGTTTCTTTCTGTTAAACCCTGTGTGAAAGTACATTCATGATTCATACTACAGTGAGCAGGAGGTTTAACAGTGAACCCGGGTGCTCTTTGGCCTTATTTAGATCTTTGTTTCTTAGACCAGGGTTCAGCAGGGTTTAAGGGCATTCCAAACGAAATAAGTGTTTAATGAGGCTAAGAAATAGAAAAATGTGCTTAATTAGAATGATATACCTGGTATTTTGTACTTAGTAAATGTTAAACACATGAAAATCAGTTATTTTTATCAGTGGCCTAAAGTACCAAAAGTCAAAAGACCCCTTCTACTCCAACTTGTCACTTCATAGTTCAGCCATCTTTGTTTTCAACTAGTTTGAATTTTGAAATGAAGAAAATGCGTACTTTGAGTTGGATTTACTCCGTGATAACTGTTTTTCATAGCAAAACCATGGTATGTTTTGGAGAATATCTACCCAGAGACGAGAATTGGTAAGTTTCCACTCTAAAATCGAAGTATTTCTCTACGAAATGATCGATCGAATTTTGAAATATTTCAAAAAACGGATTTTTTTAGATCTACTGGTACTTTGAAAACTCATCGGCGATTTCTGACGAACTGAGAGGGTATAGACAGCTTCATTGTAGCAGGAAACATTCTTTCATTTTTTCAAAAAATATATATGCGGGTTTCGAGTCGTAGTTTTGATGTTTACTTTTCTCAGACTTTTGAAATGAAGAACTAAGAGCCTTATTCTTGACATTTAGCAGTTTAGTGTTAGAGTCTAGCAAAGAATTGGCCCTCAAATGATAACAAATAAGAAAAATAACCTGGGGGTATGTTTCAGAATATGTCTAGCCTCTTCGTGAGACTATCGAGTGGAAAGCTGTGTCTGAGCTAGACGTGGATCCACGGCTCTAGTGACTTATTTGACTCTCGGAGTTTTGATAGGGTCACTAGAGCCGTGGATGCACCTGTATTAAAATCCTCAAACTTCAGAAAATTAAATTTTTTTGAACCCAGCGCTACTTTGGAGTTGATTTCTTTTGATTCCCATTTGGTTTTTTTAAATATATTTGTCCCAATGTAATGTTATATGATAAATTGTTAAACTTACCATACATAAGTTGTTCTGCACGATGTAATTGCGCTGATACTATAGGAAAATCATCACTTTTTAAATTATTTCAAAATTTTCTATAGCGGCACGAGACTTCGCGAGAAGAGATAGGGAATTCCATAATGTATACGATGCCATCTATTTTACTACATAAAGTTCATATCAATCAGACTGCATAGTAAGCAATATTCAACAGTGAATCCCCGGGAGTGAATCACATATGTTGAAGTTTAATTAAGGAATTCTCATTATAGACAGTGACTTTTATTATAGTTTCTAGTTTTAATAAGGAATACCAAACAGAGATAGTGACTCTTAATTGTTTAGACCATATGCAGATTCATTTAGTCACGTGACTTGTGACATCACGCATGCGCATAAATTATGTAGGTCAACTCAATTTTGAGAATTCGTTCGACTTTCTCTAACCTGAAAAATACAAAGACGCTTCTTGATATAATTTCCACTATAAACATGATTACAACTAGGGTCAATTTGAAGACAAACAACGTCGCTACATAGTGGTCCAAAAATTTAAAAGATTAAGGTAAGGAGCTCCGAGAAAAAGCAAAAACAACCGATCGGTTGTTTTTCAGAATCTCAACTTGCCTAGGGTTTTTAATGCTTGGTGATGCGCCTCTGGGGCCATGACAAATCTCAGATAAATATATAAAGGCCCAGAGGCGCATGAATGCACCTATGTCTGAGCAAGAAAGCTGCAAAAGCTGCCCAAGTCAATAAGGCGAGGAAGGCTGTTGGGAGGGCCATGGCCCTAGCTGAGGTGCTGGCACAAGCAAAGAAAACTGGACCTGGTGCGAAGGAAGAGTGGGATTGGCTCCCTCACTTCATGTTACAGTTTGCTGCCTTCAGAGGCCAGACCTTCAAGTGGCTTGTAAAGAATTCTTTGGGTATGCTGCATACATTGTAGAATCTGTCGACAAAGAGTGTGCAACTCCTGCATCCCTGAGCCAGAACAAGGCAGCCCTGGTCAAGTACCTTATGGCATTTCTGGAGGGCAAAGAGGCCTTAGAGATGAAGAAGTTAAAGGGTTCCAAGCAGAAAAGACCCCAGAAGCTGATTAAGTACTGTATATAGATCCATTTTCTCAGTTACGTACATGTTAAACATTTTAGGGAAATCGCAGTAAGAATTTTCTTAATAGCCCGAGCAATATTCTTATATGTGCGTACATGCTAAAAATATTTTGGAGCTGTTAAGAGCTCTAGTCTTATTTCTAGCATTATTCTGAATGGCCCCAGTATTATTTCAAGTTTTTACACATGCAAAATTTTTTTTGATCCACAATATGTAGGATCTCTAACTTTATTTCTAGCATGTACGGACGTATAACAAAATTTAGAAATCAAACATTCAAACACTGAAAGATATTCACTGTTACAACAGTGAATATATTAGTGTTTAAATGTTTGATTGAGGTATAAAAAAAATTGTTACAGTATGTAACAATTTTTTGTTACACCTCAAATAATATTACTAGTATGTACAAACATGTTATAAAATTATTTTGAAACCCGCCGAAGCTAATGTGAACTCTATAGTATTACACAAACACAGGGGTTTCACTAGAATTTCTCACAACAGGCTAAATAAAAGAAAACAGGAAAAATTTATGGAAATCATAAAGGATGAGTCTGGGAATGAGTCTGGGTATCGACTTAGAAAATATTGAAAATTGTAATGTCTGAAAAACCAACTCAATTACACATATTATTAAACTTCAATATCTTATCCTTCTTCTGAGATTACAAAAATATTAATTTGTATCACAATTGATGAAGAATATTGGCATCAAAGACAGTGCATATCACTTTGTCAGAATTGAAAAAAAATCAATGGCAAATATTAAATGAATTAATTATGCAAAAAGTTTGAAACTTATCTTCCAAAACATTGGTTACTTTCTTTGTATAGACATTGAATGGTATTTCTGGATAAGTGAATTGGTGTTTATCTGGGTAATCAAGGGATTATAGTCACTCAAAGTTACTGAGCATCCAGTTTTGAGACTTCAATTATGTTGGTGAAGTTACACATATTCCAGTCAAATTCATGCTGAGCACAACATTCCGGTTTCAATTTTATAATCTCTATACATGACCCTGGTGATGAAGAGTCAGAATCAGTCAAAAAACCTAAACCGGAAAACTGTGCTCATTGTGAAAACTAAAAGTGAAGCAACTTTTTTTCTGATATTTCTCATATCAAATGGCAACCATCTTGTTTTTCCCCCTTCAAATTAAACTGGCGGGAAATTCAAAAATTTGAAAAAATTTTAATCCTTAAATATATTTTTCAAAAATATGATTTTCTCTTTAATTCTTCATGGGTCATTAAGTTATTTCTTCTTTGTATGTCATACATGTTGCCATTGGAGTTTTTTTCTATGATAATGACTATTTTTTTGTTTGTTAAGAT